ATCCCTTACGCGTTTCCTTTCAAACCCAGACAGGTTTGTTCATTACCTCGATATTGCCTAAGTAAATATGCGGTGTTTGCAGGTAGGTTTGCCTCCATATTTGGAGGCTGATATAAATGGAAGGGTAACGGCGTCGCATAGGTATAAATTGTCACGAAGACACTCTACGTCTCACGTTAAGGTCTGGGAACCCACAAACTTTAATTTATGCTGAGAAAGATCACTTTGCCGGCACCCATGAGCACAATGATGAAATTCTCTCGAGGCACCGCCGCGGGTGACAAAGGATATAAAGATAAATTACTTTGTAGCAAGCACTTCATTATGTGGTAGATGTCTTCATGATTACTTGAGTTTATCTAAGAGCTTATTTAAATCCTACATTTCCATATAAACCTACCTATGTATAAACAAGTTAAACAATAATATTTTAAATACCTATCTACTTATGCCTTTCAGAAGTCAAATCAATTTATTTATTTCTAGATATTATAACATTGATCCACGTAGGCAGTAAAACCTTAACTACTTTATTAGTACCTATTTAAGTAACTTATCAATAAACTTGTATCTTACTTATACTTAAGTACTTATCAATAAAATTATCACAAGTATGTACCTACGTCCTACATTAAATACTAATATACCCAGGCCCGCATTTTTGTCAAGTGCTTTGCTTTAAGACTGGCGTGTCCATGGGATCATTAAAAACCGAGGTTTTAAAACTCCATCTACCTTGCTACCTGCATACAGTAAATCATCACATCGAAGCTCGCAGAATTGCTAAAATCAAGTGGCAGTGGGCGGGGCACATAGCTCGTAGAGACGATGGCCGTTGGGGCAGAAAAGTTCTCGAGTGGCGACCACGGGCTGGAAGACGTAGCGTGGGAAGGCCTCCTACTAGGTGGACCGACGATCTAGTAAAGGTCGCGGGAAGAACCTGGATGCGGGCAGCGCAGGACCGTGCATTGTGAAAAACCTTGGAGGAGGCCTTTGTCCAGCAGTGGACGTCATTTGGCTGAAACGAACGATCCTCTCTGTCACATAACAATTTTATTTAGAGTTCCACTACGCTACGGCTACGGTCTCTTCTATCTTCCAGTGTAGTCTGGAGAAGGTAATATTATTAAAATTTGCTCTCTAAATCTTATAACACACAAAAAATAAAATTTCCTCTTCCATACTTCATGTTATTAGTAACTCATACCCGTATTCACAAACATTACTATGAGGTCTCACAGTGCGCGTGGACGCACAGGGTGACACACGAACCAATCACAAAGCTCTATTCAGCGCTGTGCGTTCCGTTTTCTAATTCACATAAGCAAGCATCGTTTGTGAATACGGGCGTTAGTCTGGTAGCGCGGAGTTCGCCAAGTTGACTTGGACGCATTTGCCGACTGTGGGGTGAGGATGAAGAAACTTGTCGAGTTCTTACTAAGTATGTGTTCACATTGACTTGGCTTGGCCAATTTCCCGCATAGTGTACCCGCACCATTAGCTGAAAGAAAAGCCGACAAAAAGTTGCCAGAAAATTTTAGCTTTATGGTATTGGTCCAAAGCCCGTGCTTAAAAAATAAAGTTTAAGAAGTAAATTGTCATAACATTCATTGTCTGTGGTAATCAACATAACCTCAAAAATCGTGGTGATAAAATTATGAAAAATAATACTAGTGAAACATACGTTTTTGGAAAAGATACTTCATCACTACAAAAGCAAACGTTATTTATTAAAAGTGTTCATCGAAACCACTGCATAAAATGAAAATCTCAGAAGTATGTACCTAATATTACTTTAATTTTCATGTTAGTCAATAATATTTTTAATTAAGTTTTGTTAATAAATATTTATATTGTATTAATTAAACTATATATTTCAAGTATGGAAAACATAGTACAATAAATCTATATCAAAAATTGTTTTGTTTCAGCTACCCGGTGATGAAGATTCTGGCTTAACTTGCCGCACATACGTTTTTCAAAATGAGAGCCACACTTTAGGAAATGCTTTAAAATGTATTATTAATGGATAGTAAGTATATTAATTTTTTTTTTTGTTTTTTGATAATAAATGATTTATTCCTCACACAAAAATACAGAAATATAATATATGATAACAAAGGCATCTAGAAATTAAATCATTTATTGATTACCTCAATCTTTGTATTCAGAAGTATTAGAGCAACCTCGACTAATCACTTCAAAGATCTAGTCAACATGTCCTCCATAAGAAATGATTAAATCCTTTGCATGCTGACCTGTACGCCTTATTTTTCAAACATTTTGACGACATCTCATCCTGTTGTAGCCAAGTTCTAAATTGAACTTAAAATACCTAGTACTTATTTTTTTAAACTCATCTTTTTTATTTGCAGTGAAGAAGTAGAATTTTGTGGCTACACAGTGCCACACCCAGCTGAAGCCAAAATGCACTTCAGGATACAGACAAGAAAGACACCAGCGTTAGAAATACTGAAACGAGGGCTAAAAGATCTTCAGAAAGTTTGTGACCACACTATGGATCTGTTTGAAAAAGAAGTTAAAGAATTTAATAAAAGTTCATAATAAAGTCTTGACTTTTAATTAAAAGTAGTACCTATTTACCCAATTAGGTAAAAATAGTCTAATTCAATTGATGTGCAAAAGGTTGTACTCCTAGTTGAACAGACAGACAATTACTGGTCTGTAAGTCCTATTTATTACTTTGAATTCTCACGTCATGCTCACACATGGTGTGCATGTGGGTTGTAATTATTTTAGCATCACCCTACTTACCCCACATTTTATATTTTCTATTCCTTCCTATTTATAAGTTAGGTATAGTTATATGGGCAGGTTTATGTATGTGTATTGTGTATACCTACTCTACTGCTGCAAAATAATTTATTTATTGAGTGAAAATCATTTATTTTGTAACTAATATTATAAAGTTACTAGAAGAATAGTAGTTACACGAGCTTGACTCTAGCAGAAAATAATTTAGATTTCTACCAATATGAACTTGTTGAATATTGTAGGAATAATTAAAATAAAACAAAAAAAATATGTTATTGTGTTATATTATTTCATAACATGAAATTCAATGACCACCATCTAGACCTTGAATTCAGAGTAGGGGGACTTGGTCAAAGGAATGTCGCGCCACAAGTCAGGGGTGAGGTAGGCGTAGGTCTTAGCAATAGCGGCGTAGGTGGCCTTGGCGAAGTTGCCAAGGGTGCCGGTGGAGCCACGCGCCGAGGTGTAGCAGTCCTGGACACCAGCCATCTGCAGCAGCTTCTTGGGGACGGGAGCAGACACAATGCCGGTACCACGGGGCGCTGGGATCAGCCTCACGGTGACTGAACCGCACTTGCCGGTAACCTGAAAACATATTTCAACAAATTAATAGGGAAGAAGAAACTATATTTGAACATATGGAAGTAATTATAAGAATCAGACGCATAAAAAGCTTCATTGGACGAACCTCAAGAGGATACCACGAATGAATTTGTTATCAGTTTTCATCATAAAAGATATGTGAATCATGCATTTATTTAGAATATGAAATTTAAGATCAATGATAACCCACCTTGCAAGGAACGGTATGGGGCTTTCCGATCTTGTTACCCCAGTAGCCTCTGCGGACTGGCAGGACCGACAGCTTGGCAAGGATGATAGCTCCGCGAATAGCAGTGGCGACTTCCTTGCTGCACTTGACGCCCAGCCCGATGTGTCCGTTGTTGTCTCCGATGGCCACGAACGCCTTGAAGCGCGTGCGCTGACCGGCACGCGTCTGCTTCTGTACTGGCATAATCTTCAAGACCTCATCGTTGAGGGATGGGCCAAGGAAGAAATCGATGATCTCGAACTCTTTGATGGGAAGGGAGAACAAGTAAATGTTCTCGAGCTTGTCAATTTTGCCATCGCGAACCAAACGGCCCAACTTTGTTACTGGCACCCATTCCTTCTGGTCTTCCTTGCCGCGACCACGGCCGCGTCCGCGACCGCGTCCACGACCACGTGGGCCCCCGCGGCCTCTATCACCGCCTCGAGAACCAAAACCTCCGCGAAATCCGCCACGTCCACCGGCAGGAGCAGCGTCCGCCATTCTGAAATGATATCATGGAAATTACGACCCATTACCAAAATACCAATCCCAATTCATGAATATTACAAAAATCAGACGCGTTTAGGCCATCACTGTGTAAACACTATGGTAGATACCACGAATGAATTGTTTTTTTGGCTTCATCATTGAAATAACACGTGGGAATGATTGGAGGTTATTATTCGTTTAGAACACTAACACGAGTAATTTTACAAATATTTAATTGCTACACTCACAAAATGCACTTGAGTTTATGAATTATCAACAAAAGACGAATAAATTATGAATCTATTTCATAAAATTATTAAAATGAAAACTTACGTTGAACAGTGTGCGCTAGAAGACGGTCAAACACAAAATGGCCGGTGCGCGGACCTAATTTCCGCTCCGAAACTCCACGCAGGAAAAATAGGGATGTGTCAATTTTGAGCTTAGATTAATTGAATAATCGATATCATATATATATTGTTTTACATGAATCGACTAAAAACATGATTTTGTATAGACGTTTCATTTCTATGAGAAATGAATAATAAAAAATAATGAATTAATTTCATAATTTGTTCTTTAAAAAATCGGTAGTTTCTAAATAACGCTTACATCATGATGTCGGATAGGGATTGTCTAACTTATGGTCTCACTGGTAAAATAAGACAGACATTTCCGTATGCACAAAATTCTTTCCATTAATCATTAATTAGTAAGAACTATTCTGTAACCACCTATTTCTGACAAATAAATTATTTGATTTGATGCGGTTTGACTACTTACATCTACCTATTTATATGTTATTATGGGTCGGGTGAACTTGGTTTCTTAGACATAATCGCACAAATTTCGTACGAAACCGTTTAGACTTCAGGTGAATTTGAATGCGAATAGTTACAATAAAACGGATTTAAAAAACACTTAATTCAGTATAATACAACGTCATATATTTATTATTTATACTATTTTACATGATTCATTGTCATATCACGAACAGTCTACTTTGATAACAGTATAAGTTTCTTGACTCTTATCATAAACAACGTAAGGGAAGGAGGTGATACCATGACACGCAGCACCGTGCTTCCCATCTTTTGATAAAGCTACAACAGCTCCCATGAAATCTGGATAGTAGCCCGATATTCTTTCAACTGCCACCCGCGCTGCCACGTCTGGTGAAGACCCATGGCGCATCTCCTCCACTGCTAAAAAGCTGAAAGTTTAGATACCAATATGAGCTGCATGAGGAAAACATAAATAAACCACTAAAGTATTCTTGATTTTTATTAACAATACCTAGGCAGAAACCGAAGCATTACATCACCATCACCTGTAGCAGCAGCCCCACCTACAGCATTTTCTGCATAAGCGCCGGATCCAGGTATAGGTGAATCACCAATCCTCCTGCAAAACAAAATGAAAACAATTTTCAAATGTCCAGGCTGAAGTATTTAAAGAAATAAAAGTTATGTAACACATTAAGTAGTTCTCACCCTGGTATTTTAAATTTAGCTCCATTTGTTGAAGTACCAGCAGCAATATCTCCATTGGTATCGATGGCTACCATGCCAATCGTGTCATGATTGAACCTGTCTACATTGATATGACCTTTAGCATCCACTTCAAAGTTTTTATCTTCAAGTTTGCTGTAAGGACCACATGACTGTCTTGGATCTGGTTTGACATTCTAAGATAAGATAAATGAATTTATGAGATACCTACTTAGGTAATCTTTGGATCTCAAAAAATAGGTAAATATAGGTTCCAATTTACTATTGTATTAACAAATCACTTATAGATACAATAGTAAATTGGAAATCCTTACATGCATTTTAACAATTGAAGAAAATAATTACCAGCCAAAAATTGGGTTGACAATGGTCCTCGTTAAACCATTTTTTCCACATTGCCTTAGATTCAGGAGTAACCAGACTTTCTTTATGGAAGCCCATTTGGACGGCAAATTGAGTAGCCAGTTCCCCAACTAGGAAGGAATGCTTTGTGTGTTCTAAAACATGTCGAGCCACTGATATAGCATTCTTAATACCCCGCAAAGATCCAACAGCTCCAACATTCATTGTTCTCCTAAAACAATACAAAAACCTTTTTCTGGTTTTCTGTAGAAAAACATAATAAATCATAATAATTATGTACTCTACGACTTAATTAAAATAATTTCATGGCCAAGTCAGGCATACAATAATATTTAATTGTACAGTTACAATAATTTTGAACGATTACGATTAGCTAGGTATAATAAGCAGTTAGGTATTGAATAGTTCTAAAAATTCTAATACCCGTCCATTATAAGGGCATCCAAAGTAGTCTCGGAATTTTCATCAGGGCTACCACCGTAGCCAACTGTGCCATCGCACTGTTGCTCTTCGCAGATCGCTGCTCCCTGCTCAATTGCATCCAATGCTACTCCGCCTTCTTTTAACACTTCCCATGCTGCCTCGTTTTTGTTTTTGAGTTAGATGATTAACAAATAAAAACGCAATCATATAAAAAACATTCAATTTAAAAAAAGTACAGGATTATTTTTATATTACTAATGAGGAAAACATACCTTTTATAGTGGCATTTGTAAAGTTCCAAGTCGTTATCACAATAGGAATATTTCGTTCTGTATGTAGAGTTTGAATAAAGCAAGTAAATGTAATAAATAAAATGCCTAAGTACATCGTTGTATCACATACAATAAAATAATACACATGAAATAATTATAGTATTTGACACACGACACGGTTATTTTCTGTTAATAAACTTTGTAATCTAAATTATTTATTATATTCTGTCTAATGGCTTCAGTAGGTAAACACAACATAGCAAAAATTCCAAACATTTTTAGCACAATCAAAATGTCTTGTCAGAGAGACAAAGATATTATAATTCTAGTGGTAGACTAGCAACTCATAGTGATATAAATATTGAGCTTACCGATATACCACCGGGAGTTCGAGTACAACACTATGAATTTACCGATTTGGCCTAAATGCTATTTCCAGTGCTGTAATAATTTTATAAAAAAAAGAGATTACTTCCGGTAAACTGTCAGATTGACATCGATTCGATTGTCTGTTTTGTTTTGGTTCTTGTGAACGTTTCAAAAGATAATAATTTTTTTATCTAGTTTTCGAACACAAACTTAAATAATATAACAGCTGACATGGATCTAAATAACTTTTGCCATGACCTCCCAAAAGTCGTGAGTAAAATTACAGAATTCATTAATAAAATAACCAATGGAATAGTTTACAAAAACTCTTTTTTAATTCTTTCATTAATAACTCATTTAGTAAACGTGTACTTAAGTAACTAAAATTAATGAACAGTATTATTCCAGGAGCTACACGCTCATTTGAATGGGTCTTTAAGTCGATCTACTATGTTACACTTGAAAAGATATTACGCTGACTCTGGATTAGAAGATAAGACAAATGCCTTTTTTGATGGATTCCAAATTGGTGCAGGAGATTGCAGAAACTTGTCCGAGTAGGTATTAAACTTTTGTGAGTATGGAATATGAATTTACTAAAATTAAGGTATAAAGTTAAAGGAAAGATGTCTAAAAAAAGAAAAAAGTTTTATTAATGGCTAAAACAATAGTCGGAGAAGAAGAAGAATATTGAAGTTCTATAAAATAAAGTTTAATCTGTTACAGCTGTTTTCAAGTGTTTAGCATAGCACACTCCTTGACGAGCACTCCGGAGGCTTTAGCTATGGCGACAACTCTAACTCTCCAAGAGTTCCACAGTGACGGGTGCTGTTACATTGAACTCAGGAGCACTCCGAGAAACACTCAGTACATGACCAAAGAACAATATGTTGATACAATTGTGCATTGTATGCAGTAAGTAAATAAAATAGTTGATGAATATTTGTAACAATCAACATGTTACCATTATTTATTTTAATATCTATGTCTTTGGCACAGTTAATGTCTACCGTCATGATTTAGTAACACACAGTTCCTACTTTAGAGATAGTAAGCCTTATGTTTTTTTAATATTCCAGGAAATCTTCACTGCATTTATCTATGCTGTCGCGTTTTATAATATCCATTAACCGAAGCTATCCAGTGGCAGAAGCTGAAGCGATTGCAGAACTGGCCATAGCAAGCTATAAAAAATACCCAGATGTGGTTGTGGGTTTGGAACTTAGCGGTGAACCTACCATTGGGAAGTTTCAGGATTTTGTACCAGCTCTTGCTATAGCCAGGGAAGCTGGATTAAAAGTAAGTTGAATCTTTCAAATGTAAATTTATTTAATATACTTAAACGCACATTTGTAACACACAGCTTGTAGTAAATGCAGTAAGCAAATACACATAGGCTGAACATAGTTAAATGTTTAAATATGTTACACACATAAAAAAAAATATCTGTAATTCCAGATCACTCTTCACTGTGGTGAAGTTTGTAACCCAGAGGAAATAATAGAAATGCTTAAATTTAAACCAGACAGGATTGGCCACGGGACCTGCATACATCCTAGATTTGGAGGCACTAATGATACTTGGTCTGCATTATGTGCTAGTAAAATACCTGTTGGTAAGTATAACGTTACAAGCAGGATGTTCAGTAAATACGGAATAAAACCCAATTTTATTAATAATATTCAAATTTTAAATTACAGAAGTCTGCCTGACTAGCAATGTGAACACAAAATCAACTCCTGATTATGATTCCCACCATTTCAAGGATTTGTATGAAGCTGGGGTCCCTGTAATCATATGTGTTAGTATTTTGCCTTATTACTTATTCTGCTTACTTTAATTTGGCTTTTCGACTAATTATTTGGTACTTAGATATGGTAATTTATTTACAGACTGATGACAAAGGTGTCTTCACGACATCGTTATCAAACGAATACAGAATATGTGCTGAAACATTTAATTTAGATCAATCAAGAGTGGCGAGATTATCCCTTGATGCCTGCCAACACATTTTTGCGGATGTTCAAAAAACAGTTGTGAATAAAGTGCAGAGTTTCATAGATAAACATAATATCTAAATTACTTATTGGTTGTTTAATCGAGAAATAAAATATTTGTAATTATCTCGGTATTGATTTTAATATGATAGAAATATTCCCAAGTTTGAAGCGTGAGTTTTGATACGTAAAGGCATTTGTTAGCACCAGTCAAGTAATTTAGTAGAGTAATTTGCATTTTGAAACGCTACATGAACTACTCGCTACATGACCAAAAAACCGTTCGCACTTTGGTCGTGTACAGTTTACAAGTAATTTGTGGTTCTATAATATATGAACTCCATACTCTCGCTCATCTCTGTGATGAACTCTACTAAAACTAAACCATAGAGAAAAGTAATACATAGAACTAAACCACCCACCTGATTCGGATTCTGTTGGTAGGGGTGCTATTCGCCTGTCAAAAAAGAACAAAATGGATTGGCTCGACTAAATATTTGGTGCTCGGACACGTGTTTAGCTGCTAAATTCGACTAGTGCGTATCGGGCTTTAAGGGGTTAAGTAGATAACGTTATTGTTATTTTTGTTTCTAAATGGATTCCTTGGGCGACTAAGCAATTTGATAAATTAAAAAACAAACTGTCAATCTGTATTTGTCTGTCTGATTCTAGCAGGGTGCGGAAACTTCCATACANGACTTAACCTAAAATCTTTCTTGGATTTCAAAATTTCGTAAATTTGAAAAGTTTTATTAGAAACTCCAATATGAGCGATTTGTCGGACTTTTCTGCTACAAAAGGAGTAGATAATGAACTTCAAGATTTTCTTTTAGCAGAAAAACAAAAAGCCCAATTTCATGCTCAGGTAAAATTTTATTCTTGGTTGCTTCATGTTAACATGGAATTACATCAGGATTGCTGTAATATTCATAAAAATGTGTAATGCTTCTTTTCAGATCCATGAATTCAACGATTTTTGTTGGGATAAATGTGTGGATAAGCCTGGCGCGAAACTAGACTCCCGCACTGAAACCTGCATTACAAACTGCGTGGAGAGATTCATCGACGTCTCGCTTCTTATTACAAATCGTTTTGCACAGATGTTGGAAAAAGGAGGCGGCATGAACTAATGTACAATTTTAACATATTTAAGGCATTTAACTTTGCATGGTCTGATATAGTAGTTGCCATTGCAAAGTACTAGAAAATAAATTGTGATGTTGAAGTCTGTATAATAAATGTAGCATTTACGTTAAGCCCTCGCCTATTCTGTTAAAAAATATACTGTATTGAAGGCATACCAGGAGAAAACAGATGACTAAAAGCTCTGAATGTTCTCAAGAATGTATCACATTGTTAGATTGTTAATAAATAAAATGCAGTAACAATAATATGTTGTGTATTTTTAATTTAGGATTTATGTTTTATAAATTACTCAGTTCACTCAAAAAGCAATATACATTTTTGTTACTGAAATAAATACTTATGCTGCAATCTTATTAAAGAAAACATAATTATCTTTGAATATTTAAGATATTTATTGTGAGATTTTGTAAACAAAATTACTATTAATCAGATTTCATGCTTTAGACCAAATTATCTTCCAACTTTTCCAAGTTTAGTGTCAGTGCGAGGATCAGCTGTTACATTTTGCACAGCCACTAGGGCCTCATTAATTTTCGTTTGCAAATCTCTAAGATCTTGCACAAATAAGAGGGTAAGGACATCAGACGGACGTTGAATCATGTTTGCTTCAGTCTTCAGGGGATCTGGATGAGGTGCTGTTTTTAGTATTTTAGCTAGCGCTGCAAGTCTCATTTTTGGGTCTGGATGTGGACCAACCCCAGCCAGTGCTGATACTCTCTCCACTCCGGCTTTGAAGGCAGGGCTTGAAACTAAAATGAGATTTCAAAATTGCAGATAGGTTATGTTAGGACAATGCATATAACATAAGAAATGATTTGTGTAACTTACAATCGAGATTATCCAATGGGTTTGAAGATACTACATTAGGCGCAGTCTTTTTTGTTTCTTCAACTTTAGCATCTTTATATTTTTCAACTGAAAACATGAAAGCATTATTAGTATCATAATTTCATTTTAACATAAGTGTTATTGTTTCAGTATGTAGGCAAGTACAATCTTTAATATATTTAAAAAAAATAGATTTTAACAAGCTTATGTAAATTGTTATATACCATTATCAGCATACTCTAATCGGACAGCATAAGAAAGCAACCAATTCAGTTGTTCATTTAAAGTTCCCTCAGACGCAGGGCTGACTAAATCTTTTTGATATGAATTATAAGCATCGGTCCAACTATCGGCATCGATGTTTCTGAGACCTTCACGCTCTTCTATCTTGTAATGCCGTATTTTTTGATCTTCCAACCAAAGCACTACACTTCTATACTCCTTTTCATCTGTAAACGAAAGCAAACAATCAATTTATCATCTACAGTAAAAGGTGTATATGAATTATTATTACCTTCACAGTTAAAGCTATCGGGAGTCGGATGACCTAGCGCAGAAAGTTTTAGCTTGAACATAGCGGTAATAATCGAGAATTATCGTTTTTCCGGCAAGAAAATCTAGAATCGCCACCACCCACCACCAAATCACATCAACAAGAGTGACATTGACAGCTACACGACGTGTAGGTATTTTAATTGTTCACGGCTTTGGAGATCTATTAGATGGCTAAATTGTGATACCGGTCAAGCCACAGATATTTATTATTATTATTTTATTTATTATTATTATGTATTTATTTATATATATTTATATATGGATTAGAGCTTGCAGCACTATTATCGGTAGTCCCTCTTTGGCATAGTTCCTCTGTGGTGAGACCTCATGGTAATGTTTGTGAATACGGGCGTTAGTGTGTGTACCCTATACAATCAACAAAAACATGTCAACATTCAACAATATTACCGATACCGATAAACGTTGAATGTTTTAAGTTTTTGTTGATTTTGTAGGGAAAAACACGCGCTGGAGACCGGGAAGCAGTAAGAGCATAAAAGTTTATGATGACCGAAGAAAATAGCGGCTAAACGTGGGGCGCCATAACCGCTGAAACTTTACAAAGAAAATCCGGCTAATCATTGAATCGCCGCGTTTTTAATGATAGACGTAATGTAATACGGCGGATTAATACAAATACAATACGACTGCAACAAAAGTTTTGATCCTATATTTAGAAATGATTTCCAAAGCGAACAATGAACGGAATCAATAGTTCTCTGAATTTATTTATAAAAACCTATATACCTACTTATAAAACACAGTCCATAAGGCAAACTTAAGGCCATCTGGCATTCTCCTCCAGTTAAGCTGCTACATAATGTGAACATCCTTTGCTAGCTTTATAGAAAAAAAGCAACAATAACATTACGTGTCAAAATCAGGTGATTGTCAATGTTGTTGTCAAATGAGGAACACATCATATATTTACCGCAAGGTTATTAAAATTTACTTATTTAGTTTAATTCTTTTAAAATTACAGATTGTTTAACAAGTTACTTTTCAAATTAAGTGAAGGGAGTTTTCTGCAATAAGTATGTCGTGGGTGAAAGAAGACGTCGTATCGTTCTTCCAGTTATTCTGTATCAAAGTTGTTAAGACTGGCCGCGTTCCGCAACACATAGCTTTTATAATGGATGGAAATCGTCGTTACGCCAAAAAACACAATGAAAATACGGCTGCTGGCCATTCTAAAGGCTTTGATAAGCTTTCAGAAACTTTAAAGGTAGGTTTGAATTGGAATGAAGGCAGGATTGACAAACATTGCATCACTCTTAACTTCATAACACAACCTTGCTGCAAGGTTCAAAACAAGTTGTTTTCTGAAAATAAAGTTTTTTTTAATATATTCCAGTGGTGTCTTGATCTTGGTATTCCAGAGGTGACAGTATATGCTTTCAGCATTGAGAATTTCAAAAGAAGTGAAGATGAAGTCAGTGCACTCATGGATCTTGCTAGAGATAAATTTCAGAGGTTAATTGATGAAATGTAAGTGCCAGATAAATAAGTTTTAAAGCCATTGTGATTTAAATTGAATTTTATTAAGATAGGATTGTAAATTTTAATGTAGTTGTGTTGTTTTAGAGACCAAATAAATGAGTTAGGTGTCCGTATGCATATAGCTGGGAGATTATCAATGTTACCAGAAGATTTAAGAAAAATGGTGTCTCGGGCAATGTTAGCAACAAGACACAACAACAAGTTACGACTAAACATTGCTTATGCTTACACAGGTATGCAGTACTCTTTATTATTTAAAATATTTATTTACAATGATGCCTAATCTTGTATATTTGAACGTAGTTAATAATTAGTTATGTTTTAGGACGAGATGAAATTAGTAGGGCAGCTTCAGCCATTGTAGATGGTGTGAAAAACAATGAGCTTCATGCAGATGACATAGATGAAGAACTAGTTTCCCACACACTAGAGCTTGGGGAACCCGAGATGCTGGTTCGGACTTCAGGGGAAGTGAGACTCTCAGACTTTATGATATGGCAGGTATTTATCAAGTTTCCTTAACAGTAACATTTCTTACATAAACCCCAGAAGTTCTACATTTTATAGTTGCAGATGTTTTTGAATGTCCATTAGGTCAGCTTACTCAAAGTCAATCATTTTATCTTTTACAGATATCTAACTGTGTTCTCTACTTCACTGATGTCCTATGGCCTGAGTTCACAATATGGAACCTCTTGGCTGCCATCATTCATTTCCAAAGACAAGCACCTCCAATGAAGCATGAAGAAACCATCAGCAATAGCAAGCTGCAGTTCTTGGAGCAACTAGAAGACAGAAGATGGAAAGATTTAGAAAAACTAGTGAATTGTTGACTTTAGGGTTTATATTAGACAGGTTAAATTGTAAATATTGATCAAACATGTTATTGCATAAGTTTATTCCATTATTTAAGTTATGAGTGAAAGATAAAGTTTTCCTAGACTAATATTGGGTTATTTGACTAGATTAAAAGGAATTGGAAATTTGAATGTTATGGATTGAGGATATTTATTCAGGTTCCGAGGGTAATTTTATTAAATGAGAATTGTTTTTTAGAAAAAACTACACAGATATGTCATAAATATACTTATTTATTGCTCTAACAGGCCTATAAAGTGAACAAGATTGCTTTATAAAAGTAATCTATATTTATTGTACATAATTATGCTAAAATTACTTTCCTTTAATGGTGTACTTTGAGTATGTTTTAGTGGGGTCATATGGTTCCCATCTGGAGGCAGGAAAAATGTGTTTATTTCTTTCATACCATGACCTGGAAAGAATAATAAATTATTTTAATTTAAATACAATAATCTTTTACTGCCTAGGTACAGAATTCACCTTGGTTACACAATAATAGTTTTATGGGTCTTAGTTTAAGATGCATTGAAAATTAATTTGACATCCTTTCTGATTATAATGACCAACTAAATACTATAAAAACTCATAAATTATATGATGTGAAATCATACCTAAGGAGTACTTTTCCAGCATGTGAATCCTGTTTCTCCTGTGTAGCATCATTTACTAATCTGACATCATCTGTGGCATCAAATTGGAATAGAGGACCACTTTTCCCTCTGGCCTGTAACATAAACAACACACTGTACTAAAGTTTACAATAATTACTATTCTATGACTGTCTTCAAATTAATTTAAAAAACATACCTTGGTAACAATAAAGTCATAGAATGTATAATGATGAGGCAGTATAAGATCTTCTTTAACATACATAAGTTGGTCAGCTGAAACTGTTTTCAGTTCACTGAACTCAGGCCTCAGTGTATCCAAACATCTTTGGAGAAATTGGTAGATGGAGTTACCTGTAAAATATGAGAAACTAAAATTGTATTGTTGGCAGTAGGACACAATGAAGATGAAGGGAGTGTTGACAAAAATTATGCCATAATTTGCAGTATTATTGGACTATGGTGTGCTTTAAATTTGATCTGTTTCAGGCTTACAATTTTATTCCTTTGCTGTATTTTTATGTGCTGCACAGCTGTGACATTATAGTTGAACTTGCAGACCATAAAAGATGTTATGACATTACCTTTCTTTAAAGTGACATTCCTTCTGTGCCCAGAGCCATCCCAGTAGCTGAATGTGACCGTGATAGGCTCATCTTTGAGGCTGGCTTGTGTCATCACCCATTCCAGTCGGAGTTCTTCACGTAACTTCAAGTCTGCCTCCTCTCTCTCGCGGTCAGGCAAAAACGAGGTATCAACATCGGGATTTTTCTTAATTTTTTTTATTACCTGTGAATAAAGTGGGTTATGAGATAGTCAGCATCTTACAACTACCATTATCAAACACTATTTCAAGCAAAAATTTGTGTGCCAAGAACCAAGCAGCGAAGGAGTAATAAGCAACAATTTATTAGAATATGGCATCAATTTAAATTTTAAAATTAATCTTACTGGTTCCTTCTCTTTCCAACTAGTTTCAGGTTTTTTTGTGTCATCATCAGACAAACTATCTTCCTCCTCTTCTTCATTTAAATCAAAGGACAATGCCTGGATCTGAAAGATTAAAGAAAATACAATTAAATTATCATCAGACATTATTAATGTTTCCATAATAATGCTTGTTTACTTACCTGTCTTTTTTGTTTATTTTTTTGTGCCTGTTTCGCTTCAATTTCCTTCTGTCTCTCCTTTTCTTTTTCAGCCTTTTTCTGAGCCAGCTTTTTCTCTCTTTCGCGAACTATGTGCTCCTGTTTCGCTTTCATCTCATCGAGAGTTACCAGACCTATCGTGGAACTCTTTAGTTGCTGCTCTACGGCATCGTAGTGCGTTGCAAACTTGTTTTCAATGTTATCTATTTTCAAATCTTCCTCAATTTTCTTCTTGCGCAGTTCTATTTCCTGTTGCGCTTTCTCCCGTTTCTTCATCAGGTGCATGGCTCTGCCAGCTTCTGAAGCAGCACCTTTGTAGTGAGCCATGATTGCCTTGTTTAGTTTGCCTTCCTTTTGATAACAGGGTACCTAGTTAAACAATACGTTGAAACGTTGTGAGTTTGAAGATTTTGTGCAAAAAAAGTGTAAAGAACAATAACGGAAGATGAGATTTTTAATCAAATACACCAAAACACAAATCTCTCGCAACAAAAAAAGTTTGACTGAATTGAAGCATAGAGAAAAGTAATACATAATTGAAGAATTGAAGTATGACAACTTTTTTATANTTTTTTTTGGGATGGACTGTCCCGCTGAAGCGCGCAGGGCGCCACGCAGTGATTCTGCCAATGTCAAGTAGTTAGAGAGATACACGAGACTTTTGATTATTGGCCGGTATTTATTGAGTGGGTATTTATTTATCTCGAGAACTTAATTGTTTAGAGTCTTTAATCGCAACAAAAAAAGTTTGACTGGAAATTGAAGTATGACAACTTTTTTTTATATAATGTTTTACGGCTCTGGGTGTAAGTAAGCCCTTTGGACTGACATCACCACAGAGTTCTTGGAGGAAACTAGTGTTGGCCAGTATCTAAATATTATCAATGAACGACACGATTGATACGATACATTTTAGGTGTTAGATGAATCATTGCGATATCTAAAAGAATTTACTCTCAAAGCAAAACGTGTTCTTCTTTTCTATTAATTGCAAACATCAATACTTCCAAATTGTTACAGGATGTAGCATGTTCATTTTTAATATTTTGTGCCTTAGTTAGCCTATTACTCCGTAGTAGGCATGGAAATGATTACTATTTTTCATTCATTTTCATTCTATGAAATGATGATTTCTTTTCATATGATTTTCTTTTCACATGCGAAATTTCACAGGCAATGATTTTTATTCGCAGTGTTTTAATGTAGCTCTTTCATATAATGTGCTACTTTTAATGAAGTATGAATTATGATGAAGGATTGCTAATTAGCTAAAATATGAAATGTAACAATATACAGGGTGGAAACGATAAGTGATCTCACTCGATTATTTCTTAACCATACAAGATATCCAAAAACTGGTTACTGATCCTGAAAGTGCTTCACGAGCTCTATCCAACGGTACCAATAATAGGTTACAAAATAAATTGGATCTATCTGAAAATTCAATGTTTCCAGCCTCCATACATTTAGTAAAACCACATAATATTAAAAACTATTCAAGATATCCAAAAACTGGTTACTGATTCTGAATGTGCTCCACGAGTTCTATCCAACGGTACCAATAATAAGTTATAAAATAAACTGGATCTATCCGAAAATTCAATGTTTCTAGCTCCATACATTTACTACTGCCACAGTCATGGCATTCATGTCTTGATAATATTATAGCAAGTAAAGCCTAAAACCAATGTTTTCCATTAATAATTTTAAATAAGAATGCAATTTACGAGTTAATTTGAAGTGTTTATGATTTAAAATAAAAAAACAACACTTCTTATATTGTGTGCCTGCCTGGCATAGTGGCATACATTTAGTATGGAGGCTGAAAACATTGACTTTTCGGATAGATCCAGTTAATTCTGTAACCTATTACTGATATCGTTTGAAAGAGCTCGTGAAGCACTTTCAGGATCAGTAATCAGTTTTTCGATATCTTGTGTAGTTTAGAAATAATCGAATGAGATCACTTATCGTTTCCACCCTGTATGTTTCATTTATGTCGCACAACAAAAAACAGTTTCACAGCACATTAATAACCGCGCGACTAATGAAAATCATTCATTTCATCTGCCTGCTATCTAATGAAATCACACGAATCATGACAAGGAAATCTAAACCTTACACCTTTGAGTTTAAAGTTCATATTTAAAATGACCAGTTTCGCATCACATCTCTTGTCCTTTTCTAACACGCACATGATCAAATCATTCCTTCTTACTCGCTCGGTCGCTTCGCAGAGCTGCGCTCACGAACTTCGCTCGAATGAATGAATGAAATTCATGTGATTCGTGATTTCGTAGACTGTGAAATTATAGCAGTCTATGTGAAGTAAAATAGCAGGTGTGATTAATGAAATTCATTTCATATGATTTTTCACCTGCTATTCATGAAATGTTCCATGCCTACTCCGTAGTAGGCACAGGTGAAGAAAAAAAAAATATCGACGAACTGTCAACCAACTGTCAATACTGTCAAATAAAATTTGTTGCTTGCCGTGCCGGGTGAATGTGAAAAAATATTTACTTACTTGGTTGGTTGGTATTCTGCGCGGGTGGTCAGTCTTTCATACACGACCTCCAGGTCGATACCTTGCATTGGATTATAACGATCATTTCAAATTCTGCAACAGCCATGGATGATACTTTATTGCCTCCATCGCCCAACTGGTTTCAAGTTTCCGTTTTAGCGGTTAGCAACGATGGGTGGATGGTGTACGGCGGTCCTACCAAGAGTCTTTGTGCTTTGCAGCCTCTATCTGCTGAGGACAAGACCTTGATAGAGGGTAAAAGATACAAAGCACATGTCCTCAACAGAGCCTGTGGAGAGAGGTGAGCAAACCATTTTGTTATTGATTTCTTGTTTCGCCATTTAATTAGCACTGCCGATATTTAGAGCCAAAACCTAAAAAATCTAAATACTTTTGTTGCCTACCATCCCTGTTGATCAGGATTCTAATGGTTTTTTGTTGGGTAGGATCATAAGTGTGGATATTTCACCGGAATGGCCACAAACACGCACTGTACTGACTGGCAGTGCCAGTGGTGCTGTTAAACTGTGGAGCTTGGAGCCTCTACTTGAGTCAAAAACATTCAAATTATTGCTAAGTCATGATGTACATCGTAGCGACAAGGAGGTAAGATCTGTGTGTTTGATCAAGGAGCTAATTTTATTATTGTCAATAATGTATTGATATTGTTATCAATTTCAACCATTTTATGCATTAATATCAGAATTTCTAAATTCACTCTCCTCAAGTTTGAATGTGTGCTGTTATTAGTTAAAATAATACTACCCACATTGGTATTCAAAATTAAAAGGTTTACTGTTTCATATTTCTATTGCATCCTGCAGGAATTTTATCATTTAAGTAAAATGAAATGCTGTTTTAGGAGATAATAAAGGAAGCTTTGTATGGACCTTATCTAAGACAGTGCCTACAGTTTTCAGTGTATTAGTGGTTTGAAATTTGTAATGGCTACCCAGAATTGATGAAGTTCAATAGTACCCAACCCACTATCAAATAGCTTCATAAATCCATTACAAATGAATTGACTACCCACTTTTGCGATGAAATTGTTACTCTCTCCTGTAGTTCTTTCTTTCTACAAGAAAAGTGGAAATAACTACTATGCCGGTTATCTATGTATTTTTTGCCTTTCTCTGCCAAATTTCCATTGTTTTTTTTACTTTTTAGGAAATAGCTGGTGTTGGATTCTCAAATGAAACAACCGCCATCACAGTTGGTGGTAACGGAAGTATTGTGAAATGGAACCTGGTTTCAAATATTGTGAAGACATTCCATCATATCAGACAATTCAGGCCAATTTGCATGTCCTGTTCACCACATTTACCGCTGCATGTGGCTGTAGGAACTAAACAGGGAGTTGTCATTTTATTAGATTTAAACGGTGGGTAGAGTAAAAAAAATTGTGAATCTTATTTAAATACAAATGCAAAAAATACACTTATTTTATCATAATCATATTTTCAGGGCCGGGTAGAATTGTATACAAAGTCCGTGGTCAAGATGATGAAATCACAAATCTTAGCTGGTGTCCTAAATATGATCTATCACTCAAAAAGACACTCAACGAGTCAGAGAAAAGGCTTAGTCTCAAGAGTCGTGTACTGGAGAATGAGTCGGTAAATGAAAATTTGGAAGCATCAGGTATAGGGAAGAACCTGCCTGATGACAGCTTTGATGAGTCAGCTGCTACACAAGAAGATGAGATGTTTGACATCTACAAGGACCATGAGGCTGACGAGTTTGGCCATAAGAAGTATCAGTCAGAAGATATATACGTAAAAGTTGCTTCTGAAGATAAAGAGGACGACTATTTAGCTGAATGTATTAAACTGAAAGAGGAGATATTAAAGAAGAAGGCTGAAAGCGAAACTGCTATACAGTCTTTGGTAGATGCTATTGAAAACACTCATGTAGATAGAGAGAAGGCTTCTACATCAACTGATACTGCACAACCTGATGGTAGCACCAGTGATAAGCCTGGTGATAATACAGAAGAATCCGATGTTGATAAAAAAAAGACAGTAAAAAAGACAGTTGAGGCCAGTGAACATGTCCATAAACATTTATTGGCCACTATTGGTAAACATGGGTAAGTCAACTGTGAAATAAAATAATTTTCCTTATCTATATAAATATCTATATAAATAAAAATGAATTGATGTTCGTTAGTCTGATTAAAACTCGAGAACGGCTGGGCCGATTTAGCTGATTTTGGTTTTAAAATGTTTGTCGTAGTCCAGGGTAGGTCTAAACGGTGAGCCAATAAGGAAAAATTGCGATGGCTTATTTATTAACTTTAAGGCGGAACAGAGTTCGCGGGGTCAGCTAGTTTGAAATAAATAATTATCAAATGATATATTAATTATTAACTTCTTAACTTATATTGAAATAAATAATTATTAACTTCCAGAAGCATTCGTGTATGGTCTAAGGCTGGAAAACTGGTGGGCAGCTGTGTTGTCCCCAGTTTCCCCAGCAAAAACCAGAAGGTTAAGCTGTTGCCTTCTTACCCCACATTATTATGGTACAAACCAGATTTATTAATCATAGCAGATGGAAAGAATCAGCTACTACAATGTGATCCACTTAAAATTGACTGGTGAGTAGTGACAACTAATATTATGTAGTAGGATAAGCATAAATAAACAAAAAATTTCCATGTTAATGTGAAATTACTAATTGGTTTACTGACTAACCAAATTATTTTGAATTATAATTAAGTTAATGCAATTTGGTTTTAAATGTTTTGTTTTTACAGTAAGAACAAATTGGATTGGGGTTTAGTCCATGGATATCACAAGCGCTCAATATACTCGCTCTCGTCGAACGCTCCTCGAGTGCAGACGGGGTCGGAGTCCGATGAGGATTGGGTGGTGTATACCAACTCGCAGGATCGCTACATCATCCAGTATTCCATGCACAGCAAGCAGAAAGTGGCTCAGCATGCCACGTCTGGCGGCTTCGTGTATACTGTGGCATCGTGCCCTTACGACGCGTCCAAGTGAGTAAAATGTACTATCCTTCACACCATTTGTATCAGGCAAATTGAGAAGTCACCATAGTCAGCTACAATACCTTTTTTTCCTTAATGCTGCATTTGCGATTATTGCCATTTGCGATTTTTACTAGTTTGGTAAGAAAACCAAAGTGACCGATATAGCCCGCAGAATTGCTAAAATTAAGTGGCTGTGGGTGGGCACATAGCTAATAAAGATGATGGCCGTTGGGGCAGAATAGTTCTCGAGTGGCGACCACGGGCCGGAAGACGTAGCGTGGACAGGCTTCAGGCTTGAAATGGGGGAGACCTTTGTCCAGTAGTGGACGTCATTTGGTGAAACGTCTTTACTGAACTGTTTTTATTTATGTCTTTTCCAGAGTGGCTATAAGCATCGGCGATGGGTGTGTCAGGATCTGGGAAACCAGCACTTTGGAGAATGATGACATGAAGTTGAGCCCTGGACATGTGTCGACGTACTGGCAGAATGTCCAGGGCAAAGTGCTGACTGTCGCATGGCATCCAACTCGGGAAAATTTGGTGGCTTTTGGAACCGCCGAATCGAGGGTATTTTTTTTACATTTTCCCTGTTTTTGATTACCTTACAATAACAAGCAATGTTATCAAATTAATGAATGTGACATTGAATTTTAGATTAATCTTATTTTAATTGTAACATTGGTTGTTATAATTAATTATGTTAATTGGTGGTTTTTGCATCAAATGCGAAATGTGACTGCATGTTACAATACAAGAGTTGATTTGTTGAGAAATGATTTTCATTTTACGAAAAAAATACCAGCAATCACAACTTTTGTAGTCTTCATGCTCACCATTTAATTTACCCTTTGCGGGATTCTAACCTCTATGATCTATAACAAAAGATATCAAATTAAACAGCCGCGTCATTTCAGATCGGTCTACTCGACACCAGCGGCAAATGCGAGAAGGCCGCTCGTACGTTCATACCCGCGCTTAGTGGCGCCATCTACTCGATCAGCTGGGGCGAGGGCAACGACCTGTACGCTTGCGCGGGCGGCGACCTCGTCATATACCACGCGAACAAGCCTGATGAAGGTCAGTTCTATGATGATCAGTTGAATTTTGACATAGATATAATTATTGCGTCACCAAACTTATAATATGGCTGTAATGAAGGATATTATTCTGTATGTATCAAAAACTCATTTTGTAGATTGCTAGCAAGTGAGGCCTGCAAAGAGGGTATATCCATAGCTCATTAGCCTTATTTGTATGGTGTATTATTCCAATTGATGAAATCAAAGTCTAAATTGATGAAATTAAAGTCCGAATTAAAGACGAACGAACGAACGAAAGTCCACGTATCGTGATTTCATTCCAAGGACCCCAATTTATCGTTAACTTTGCATCACCCCCTTTCGCCCGTTGAAGATGATAGTCGAGCACTGTGAGTCGATTTATCAAAGTATTTATCACGCACGTGTCCCCTTCAAAAATCTATACTAATATTATAAATGCGAAAGTAACTCTGTCTGTCTCTCTTTCACGCCAAAACCACTGAACCGATTTTGATTAAATTGGGCATAGAGATAGTTTGAGTCCCGGGAAAGGACACAGGATAGTTTTTATCCCGGTTTTTGAAACGCGCGCGCGATAAAGTATTTCTGTGACAGACAAAATTCCATCAATCAATTCCAAGCCGCGGGCGGAAAGCTAGTCATCAATAAATCGATACGGTCTAAATTGTGCCATGTCTTTTGTATTTCTTTCTGTTTCTTTTCTGGTCTTGTGGTGTACAATAAAATGTGTTTATCTATGGATAGACGCAGAGCGATTACTCCTATCTCTATATCGATCGTTTCCCGCAGCGCCAAGTCCCATGAGCGTGATGGTGGAAGGCAAGCAGATGGAGGTGAGCTTCGTGCGTTGGCTGCCGCATGCAATGGTGTGTGGTAGCAATACGGGCTGTGTGGCCGTGCTGTCTCCGCGCGCGCCTTATGACGTGCAAGCCGCACACCTGGCGTTCAGGTGAGTGTGACCCAGCTCCGTTACTACTGGCGCTTATTTATTTATTTATTTATTCAGAAACTCAACAGCTGTTTTACAATATTCATGTTAGTTTGATGAGCATTAAATCTAAGCCAATTAAAGAGTTTCCTAGCTGCTTAAATAAGTTCGTACATTATTACATTTATCAGGTAATGAGTACCAAGCGCTGCATGCTCAACCATGCCTAAAAATAATAATCATGATTGAACATGCAACGCCCAGGTTATACAATCTTAGTGTAATTTTTTAATATAAGAATTTTTATTCTTATATTAAAATTAACCTAGATCAGTGTTTTTCAACCTGTGGGTCGCGAAAGGTCGTAAAAACTACCTCAGTTAAGAAAACAGTAAAGTTTTTAAGATACATTTATCCAAAATCTAATTATTATGCGAATGCATAAATGTTGTATGGATTGAAGAATTCGGTCCCTACAACATCCTTGTAACATTATAAAATGCATGCATGGTCGCAAAATATTTTTTCATACTAGGGGGGTCGTGTCATGAAAAAGGTTGAAAAACACTGACCTAGATAGTACCTAAGATCTGGGAGCGGCACGTGGTGATTTCGACATATTATGACGTGACAGAGCATACAAATCGGAAGTCTCACTGACATTTGACGTAACAAAAAACACCCTCCCGTGCCGCTCCCGTATCTCGGCACACTGACTCAGCTAGTCCTACTAGTCTTACTAGTCCACCATCTTCTGTAACTACGTCCCCGTCTTCAGTCGGACAGGTCTTTTCTGTGACCCTGCGCGCTGTGCCCACACTCGCACTATCCTAGTGACGGCAGCACCTTTTCTAGCTGTTTAAAGAGATAACGTGGGCTGCGTCGCCGTACTGTCTCCGCGCGCGCCTTATGACGTGCAAGCCGCACACCTGGCGTTCAGGTAAGTGACAATACAACCCGATTACCCGCCACCTCCCCACGTTCACCCCCTCCGTACCAGATCATCGATGTGACGTCACGGCTGCCAGCTCCAGTTGATTCGACCGGATTGAAAGCTCCTAGCCAGATACCTGCCTTCTATAACAGCGGCGTGGTTGTCAGCCGTCAGTTAGGTTTTTCAGTGACCCTTCACAATCTGCGCTCTGTGCCGTTCTGGACACCGCTCTCACCGCCCTAATTACGGCACTGGTGATATTACGCCTTCTATAGCTAGGAACTGTACAGGTAGGGATTAGGTCGCAGGGCACTGTTGATTCTAAGCATGATGATCAGCTCCCCTGTCCTCCCTGGAAATTGGGACCCTACGTAATCTTCATCTCACTTAACACCAGGTGCGTTTGCGGTCAAATACCTGTCTTGTTACGCATAAAAAAATGTTTAGTTTTTAAGCAGACAGGGAGACCTTAAAAATACTGACAGTATCACCGTTTCCAAGCAGTCTTTACAGATGAAAACCACCAATCGCAAGTGTTGTGTCAGAAGTCTATCGTTGTGAATTGGTAACATAAAACTCAAATTAAATAACATTACAATGTGTTCTTGCTGATGCCTAACAAGAAATCTACTGAACTGTGTTTCTTTTACAGTAAAATGATACACACTGTGGACTGGCATCCACATCAGACATCGAACTCGAGTCAAGATTCTCCCTACAAAAATCTGATTGCAGTGTGTTCTGTGGAGAAACACGGCAAAATTGTTATCTTGGAATACACAGATAAAGAAGGCAAGCACAAAATTTTTAACCAGTAAATTATGAGATTTTTGCCTGGATGAATGAATGGCTAAACTGTTTTGTGTTATTGCCGACAGATGGCAGTAAACAGCTGCAGACTTATAAAACGTTGGAGGGCCACAAAATGCCAGTGTTGCAAATTATGTGGAACCCGCATGTGGAAGCTCGATTACTATCCACTTGTCAAGACGGCACAGTGAGGGTAAGTCTAGATGTTATGTAAGTTTATTAAAATAGTTTACTAAAGTATGTACGGAAAACTCATTGTGGGAGTTCCACCCACAAGGTGGACCGACGATCTCATAAAGGTAGCAAGAAGGATTCAGGCTGCCACCAACCGGGCGATATGGAAATCATTGGGGGAGGCTTATGTTCAGCAGTGGACGTCCTGTGGCTGGAATGATAAGATGATGATTAAAATAATAATGTAGATAATATCGATAAGTTATTATGTATTCAGTTGGCAGTTCCGTTTTCTGTCTCTGTAAATAAAATAAAAGCAGTGGTTCTTAACCGGTGGTCCGCGGACCACTGGTGGTCCCTGGAGACATTCCAAGTGGTCCACGAAGTGCACTTGCACACCTGGGTTAAAACCACTTTTAACTGATTTTGAAGGCAAACTGGTTTTGACCAATTATGAGGACAAGTCCCTGACAAGACAGAAAGGTAAAAGGTTAACAACCACTGCTGTAAAGTAATTCTACAAGTCATGACAGCCATCTTAAAGTCTTAAACCAGGTTTATTGTGGTCTCCACAGCAAAATAGATTACAATTAAATATTTCGATAGGTAGGACTTCAGTTACGTTCACATTGGAGCGCCAGTTTTTAGACGCGTCTGCTGCCTACGTCCGGTTTCAATTTAGAAGTGTCAAATAGGTAGCCTTTCTTTTGTGATATTATTAATTTTTGACAGATCAGTAGATGCTTTATACATGTTAGTTTAAACTCTGTTATTTTCACATATAGTAGGTACGTAGTTTGGTTTGCATCCTGCAAAGGAGAGTGTTGTAGGCTCGTTGTACACACTTGACATCGCGAGTAGAGCGGCTCGTCTAGCGTAGACCCACCTTTATAATGTTTAATGTACGGTAGAATTTTGTCCAATGACCCCAAGCTACTACCCATCCTTATCGCTTGCACGTAATTATGTTGCTGCCGCGCTCGCACACACTGCGGGCGCCCGTCGCACAGTCGCGACAGCAATATAATTACGCGCGAGCGATAAGGATGGGTAGCTTGGGGTCATTGGACAAAATTCTACGTGCTCACGGACCGGGCTTTACATGGATACATTTCGCTAGGTATGGGACGTGGTCACCGCCGCCTGCGTGTCGATATTCGAGGGCCACACAGCTAACACGCTGGGCGCGTGTTGGTCCGCCTTCCCACAACTGCCGACACTAGTGATGTCCGGCGGCGGCGATTGTACACTGCGCGTCTGGGACGCTGCCGACTATCCAGCAGAAGAATACAAGGGTATCAGAGCAAATACTTTTTTTATGCTTGGACATTTTACACTGCGCTTCTAGTCCCAAACTTAGCAAAGCTTGTACTATGGGTACTAGACAACGGATATAAACAAACATACTTAAATACTTTTTTTTGTAAATAAATCCATATTATACATAGAAAACACCCAGTCCAATACAAACCAATATGTTCATGCACACAAATGTTTGTACTGTGCGGGAATCGAACCCGCAACCTCCGGAATAGTAGTCCGTTTCGAACCACTACACAAAACTACGATAGATAGTTGATTAGAACTAGGATGTGATTTATTCAAGCAAGGGAGTGGTAAATTATATACTTCCCACATTGGTCAGTCTTTGTGATCGGCGAGAAAAGAATTGATTTCGGTTGGAATTAATGTAGGCAGTCTCCTACCTATCAGCCCTTGAAAGTCTTGAAACTTTCGTCAGTTAGTAATGAAATGAATGATTGCGAATATTATTCTTTAGTAATTCTAAATTCTGAAAATATTTTTTATCTACAATTTGTAAGCTATAAAAACAAATCTTTTTCAGGTCATAACCTAGAATTGATACCCAAAAAGATCAACAATAAAAGTAGCAAAAATAAGAAAGAAAAGCTCAAGGTTGCCTTGCCTGAGGAGGAAGAATCCGCTACGACACAAGTGGCAACGCGGCTAACTAACCGCACGAACGTCCCGAAAGGGCCCAAAAGGTTCTTGCTACCCATCCTTAACAAAACCTTGACACCAGAATGCGAGTTGAACATAGCGAAAGCCCTCTTCAAAGAATATTTGGAGAAAATACCAGACGCCGAACTTGATTTAAACCCGGAAGATGAGGCGCAGAACGATATGGAAATGATTAAAATATTCGGAACGGTCAAGGATGTCAATGATTTGCTGGATGAACAAAGTAAGTTATCAGTTAAAATGTGGATAAACTTAATGAAAAAAAAAAAATGCGTGTCGCTTTTGTGATAGTGTGCGACCACAGAAAATGGTATTTTATTGCCGGTGTGAAAAATATTTTCATTCCTTTTGGTGTCCGTATAAGGTTGAAAATCAATTCAAGTTTCGTTTTTGAACTGGCAGGGAGTTGGATAATGTGCTGCTGTTTGTACTGTACTGTTTATTATTGTTCTAAGCTATTATCAAAACTACACAAGATGTCACAGCGTTAAGTTTGAATGGCCAACTGTTTTATTTCAGTGGAATGCCACCTGAAAACGAACCACTTTGAGAGCTGGATTATGCTGGCCGTATTCCGCGGACACATCGATGATATGATGCAATTCGCCAGTCAGCGAGACATACTTTGCCCGTACCTGCTCAGTTTAGCGCCTTGTGTGTCGCTCAAGTAAGTTCACGGTTTATGAACAGCACTTTAAGGACTATCGTGTTAAGACTTAATTGTTGGCACCACTGTGAATCTACGGTGGCGCCATCCTGTAGGCCTAGGATGCGCGCCGCCACGCCATTTTATCGATTTTGTCCATACATTTTGACGTCGATAAAGTATATCACCGGTTCACCGGCTAGCAGTGCAAATGCAATAGTCCTCCTACCGCTTCAGCGCTCACAAGTTGGCACCACTGTCTTTGCCACTAGCAAGTGACAGTGACCTAGCCCTCATTCAGCAAGAGTTTTTCTATTGTCCTTGTCAGTATTTTGCATGGCAACCCTGTAACTTATTTTTCATAATGTTTTTGTGCTATATTGTTTTGTTATTAATGTATCCAAATTACTTTAGAAAAATTCACCATGTGTAGTTTTACTTGTACCAATTATTGTCATGAATGCCATATGTATTCAAAGCAACAGCTTGTAAAAATAATGAAAAATATATTGTTATAGGTATTGGAAGGATGCGACCCAGTTATATTTGGCACAGATTGATAGATTGGTAGCAAAAGGAGAGGAACATAAGCTTTCAGGTATGTTTCATTTTTGTACTATGATCCATTTACACTAGCAGGTAATTTATATTTACCATACAAATTGGCGCGCTGCGCAAATCGTCGCTACAAATGTTTGTCAAATTACATTGAGTGAGCGCCGCTACAGGTTGTGACAGATGTTTCATAATCTTTGACGCCATTGTGAGAGTTTGTGTATAATGACTCCATGTGTGGCATCGCTGAATGTACAGTCGGCGTCAAGTTGTTCGTGACACCCAATCAAAATAGCCAATAAGTTCGCAACACGTCTTTGTTACAATGCAATAATGTTGTGTCAACTTTATCATAATATATCAATTATTGTACTAGTTTTTGGCCTCTCTGTGTCACGCACTATTTGACGCCGACAGTACATAAGTTTGTGTCTTATTTCTCAGAGAATAAGAACTACGGCGGGTACGTGTTCCGCAAGACGGCGACTCAGCTGGGCGCGCACGACGTGAAGGCCGCGGTGCAGACGTTAGTGGACGCTCGGCTCTTCCAGGAAGCTTATATCTTGTGCCGGATCAGGTAAGGGACAACTGGGACCATACACCACCTTTTACTGCCCTAAATGGTGCGGGTACACTATGCGGGAAAATGGCCAAGCCAAATAAATGTGAACACATATTCGATAAGAACTCGACAAGTTTCTTCATCCCCACCCCACTGTCGGCAAGTGCGTCCAAGTCAACTTACTGCTATAGATGACCCACGCTGAACTGTCCCACCAAACTCAATGACAGGGGGGCGCTACCATCGTTCAACTATATGGTTTCCAACATGGCAAAAATCGGAACCAGCGATCCGGTATGGACGGTGGCGCCCCATTGTCAATGTCATGCATAGGACAGTTCAGTATTTTGGAACTATACTGAGTTACTTGCCATATTGGCCTAGAGTGGAAACACGCGACTTGACTTAGGGTTATCTTCGACCAGTATCTAGTCGTAATGTCGAGGCGAGACGAAGTTCTGCAAAACTGCCGGTGCGCTCAATGGCTGGTTCCTTGAGCCTTCTGATTGAATAAGAAACCAGCGGGGCGACTCCCAAAAACGTACTCTGAAGTTCGAATGTTTCCATCCCTCTCACACAAAGCAAGAGCCAGCATGAGCGACAATGACTGATATACCTGAAACTACGTATACGACGTTTAGGAGTAGCCCTGCTTGAGAATGCGTCGGTCTCATGTTATAGGTACAGGCCTAGCACGTAAAGCTATGACACAATACGCTGACCGTAACTAATCTCTGATCATCGTTCCAGGTACATGGATAGCATTGCCCAAGAGACACTTTGGAAATGGGCGCGCGACAACTTGCATGACGGACTCTACATTCGAGCTGCTATATGGTACGGTTTTAAGCTAATACTCATTTGGTTTTACAATGTTGTTTCTGCTACCTTAAATGAAAAAGCTTCAGACTGGTTCTTAAACAAATCTCATTATTTTACAGCTACGTAGCTCTCGGAGAAATAGCGCAAGCGTCAGCAATGCTCGGGAAAATGAATGACGAGGGCAGTCTCAACCTCGCAGCTAGTATGGCCAAAGTCGTGGGCCAAAACTTGCTAGCTGATCACATCGCCGAAAAAAGAGAGAATATAAAAAGCACAGCTGAAACTGAGGACACTGAAGAGATACTGGAACAGTTGCCATCTAGGATTGAGCTGCTTATGAAAAAATCCGACAGTGAAATCAATGGGGGACCAAAAATGAATGGAGACAGTAACGTGACCAACGGACACTGTTCTGGGTTAAACGGAGGTGCTGTAGCCAACGGTCACAGTGCTGTGGCTAATGGTGGTGCTTATGTGGCCAACGGTGATGGTGCGGTANAACTATCAACGAAAATTGTTTTGAATGAGATCTAGTAAGCAGTTTTTTTTAATACCTCTTAAACTTAAATTAAAAAAATAATAATTTTAATTTCATAAATCAATGGTACGGAACCCTTTGTGCGTGAGTCCGACACGCACTTGGCCGGTTTTTTTTAAAAAACAAGCTTTTATTCTGAAATGCAGTTGTACCTACTAAAACGAAAAAATAATTGTACTTATGCAAGGTTCAAATAATTTCGAAGGCAAACATAAATGAGTAATAAATTCCATGCGCGATACAAGCTTTCGAAATTATTTGGAACCTTGCATACAATTATTTTTTTCGTTTTATTATCATGTGTTAACGGATTAACGATTAACGTTAACTTGCGTTAAATCTTGCGAAATGTAACGTTTTAACGTTTAACGAAGTTAATTTTTTTATTAACGGTTTAACGATTAACGAAGTTAACTATTTGATTAACGGTGCCCAGCTATGGGTATAGCTGAGGCAGATACACTCTGCCTAGGCTACAAGACATTGCTATGAAGATCATTTCGATGTAGGTACATGCAATACCTACCTGTTATTTAGTTTTTCTGAGTTAAACCTACCTATCTATTCGCCGTTCCCATGGGCGGGGCAGCTGCTGCAGGAAAGGACAGCTGCTCCCTCCTGGAAATCTATTTAATCTTAGCCTAGAAGCTGGGTATGACTCCCCCGCCCCCCTCCTCTCCCCAGGTCATAAGCTGGGCATGACTTCCCCCTCGGCCAGAAGTTGGGTATGATTTACCCCTCTCCAGGCCCGAAACTGGGTATGACTTGACCCCTCCCCCTCCCCCCAGGCCAAAAGCTGGGTAAGGCTTGCANAAATTCCACCAATCAATTCCAAGCCGCGGGCGGATCAATAAATCGATACGGTCTAAATTGTGCCATGTCTTTTGTATTTCTTTCTGTTTCTTTTCTGGTCTTGTGGTGTACAATAAAATGTGTTTATCTATGGATAGACGCAGAGCGATTACTCCTATCTCTATATCGATCGTTTCCCGCAGCGCCAAGTCCCTTGAGCGTGATGGTGGAAGGCAAGCAGATGGAGGTGAGCTTCGTGCGTTGGCTGCCGCACGCAATGGTGTGCGGCAGCAACGCGGGATGCGTCGCCGTGCTGTCTCCGCGCGCGCCTTATGACGTGCAAGCCGCACACCTGGCGTTCAGGTGAGTGAGCGCATCCTACCTAAGCTAAAGCCTGGTCCGTGAACACGTAGAATTTTGTCCAATGACCCCAAGCTACCCATCCTTATCGCTCGCGCGTAATTATATTGCTGTCGCGACTGTGCGACTGGCACCCGCAGTGAGTGTGCGAGCGCGATAGCAACATAATTACGCGCGAGCGATAAGGATGGGTAGCTTGGGGTCATTGGACAAAATTCTATGTGCTCACGGACCAGGCTTTAGAATTGGTGCAGGCAGCATCCTACAGCCAGATGGAGGCGAGCTTCATGCGCTAGCCGCCGCCCCGCGCGCCGTATACAGGGTGGAATTTTGTAATGCCATCTGGAGGCAAAGTACTCTTAATACTGTAGATAGAAAATTTTACTGAAAGAAAACATTCCTTTATTTTTGAAAAGAAAGAGAACTGCATTCAAAGATTTTCGAAAATTTTTAGAAAATTTCCTACCATACCATACAATTTCCTGTACATAATTAAAATAATTTAAGATTTCATGGTTTTCCTTTCATTTAAGTTATCAAGTTTGTTAGAGAGATTTCATCCTTATACTTAACCCTAACGATCGATGCAATAAAAATACAGGGTGTAATTTTTACCAGATTTTAGTTTGTTCGAATTCCGGGTGTGGCAAGTCAATTTTTGTAAATCTTTGAATGCAGTTCTATTTCTTTTAAAAAATAAAGGAATGTTTTCTTTGAGAAAAAATGTCTATCTACAATATTAAGAGTACTTTCCCTCCAGGTGGCATTACAAAATTCCACCCTGTATAGATCGTTTCATCCACTAAGACGCTAATGTTTGAGTGTTGTAGGTACACACTAAATTATCCATGAGTGCACACGCACACTACAATAATGACGCTCGGATTGCTCGGATCAAACTCCCCGCACCCCGCGCTTCCCTCGATCAAAAATTGGTGGGGCGCGTCTTCGTGGATGAAACGATCAATAATGTAGGCGAACTGCTAACTTAGCGTTCGGGTGAGCGGGACCGCACCTTATGTAGAGGACCGGTACAGGCAGTTACTTACTTAGTTTATAGTGTACCACAAACTAACCAATATAAGTATGATCAAAGAGCATGTTGAATAGTTTAAAGTGAGTTATATTTACTAAGCGTAGTGTGAGCTGCGAGAAATCTCCCATCAGACTAAATACCGGGCAGCACAGGACCAGTCCTTGGGGGTAAACCTTTGTCCAGCGGTGGAGGACCCTTGGCTGAAATAATGAAGTCGCAGGGTCAGTCAGGTCATGTAAGACTCGCAAAATGGCGAAGCCTATTTACTCAATCCACATAGGCCCTCATCTAGCACAAGCGAGAGTGTTGCGACGAAAATGTCGCCAATCATGTCTTGTTTATTGACCAGTGTTTCTTTTACAGTAAAATGATACACACTGTGGACTGGCATCCACATCAGACATCGAACTCGAGTGAAGATTCTCCTTACAAAAATCTGATTGCAGTGTGTTCTGTGGAGAAACACGGCAAAATTGTTATCTTGGAATACACAGATAAAGAAGGCAAGCACAAATAATTTAACCAGTAAATTATCCGACTTTTTGCCTGAATGAATTAATGGCTAAACTGTTATGTTTTGTGTTATTGACCGACAGATGGCGGTAAACAGCTGCAGACTTATAAAACGTTGGAGGGCCACAAAATGCCAGTGTTGCAAATTATGTGGAACCCGCATGTGGAAGCTCGATTACTATCCACTTGTCAAGACGGCACAGTGAGGGTAAGTCTAGATGTTATGTAGGTTTATTAAAATAGTTTATTAAAGTATAAGTACGGAAAACTCAGCGTGGGACTTCCACCCACAAGGTAAACCAACTTTCTCATAAAGGTAGCAGGAAGGCGCTGGATGCAGGCTGCCACCAACCGGGCGATGTGGAAATCATTGGGAGATACTTATGTTCAGCAGAGGACGTCTTGTGGCTGAAATGATAAGATGATGATTAAAATAATTATGTAGATAAAATCTATCAATTATTATGTATTCAGTTGGCAGTTCCGTTCTCTTTCTCTGTAAAGTAATTCTACAAGTCATGACAGCCATCTTAAAGTCTTAAACCAGGTTTCTTGTGGCCTCCACAGCAAAATAGATAACAGTGGAATATTTCGATAGGCATGGGACATTCACATTGGAGCGCCAGTTCACTAGACGCGTCTGCTGCCTACGTCTGGATTCAATTTAGAAGTATCAAATAGATAGGTAGCCTTTCTTTTGTGATATTATTAATTTCTAGACAGATCAGTAGATGCTTTATTTAAAACATGTTAGTTTAAACTTTCTTTTTATTTCATTTATAGTAGGTACGTAGTTTGGTTTGCATCGCGCAAAGGAGTGTTGTAGGCTCGTTGTACGTTCACACTGTCTTGGACATCGCGAGTAGAGCGGCTCGTCTAGCGTAGACCCACATTTATAATGTTTAATGTACGGTAGAATTTTGTCCAATGACCCCAAGATACCCATCCTTATCGCTCACACGTAATTATGTTGCTGTCGCGCTCGCACACTCACTGCGGGCGCCCGTCGCACAGTCGCGACAGCAATATAATTACGCGCGAGTGATAAGGATGGATAGCTTGGGGTCATTGGACAAAATTCTTCGTGCTCACGGACCGGGCTTTACATGGATACATTTCGCTAGGTATGGGACGTGGTCACCGCCGCCTGCGTATCGATATTCGAGGGCCACACCGCCAACACGCTGGGCGCATGTTGGTCCGCCTTCCCACAACTGCCGACACTAGTGATGTCCGGCGGCGGCGATTGTACACTGCGCGTCTGGGACGCTGCCGACTACCCGGCGGAAGAGTACAAGGGTATGAGCAAATGCTTTGTAGAATAGTCCGCAGCAATGCCTGCATGTCAATATTCGAGGAACATAACGCCAACTCGCTGGGCGTCTTAGGCCGCCTTCCCTCAGCTGCTACACTGACACCATAACCCAGTCGAGTTAACTGGCGGCTGTGACGTCATACCGACACTGGTACGGAAGTCTGGGACGCTGATAACTACCCGGCGGATGAGTACAAGAGTGTGTATGAGCAAATACTAATTTCGGTTTGTAGGCAGCTTCTAACCTAAACAATCAGGCCTTGTAACTTTCAGGTCAGTTAGTAATGAAATAAATGATTGCGAATATTATTCTTTCGTAATTCTAAATTCTGAAAATATTTTTAATCTAAAATTTGTAAGCTATAAAAACAAAACTATTTCAGGTCATAACCTCGAATTGATACCCAAAAAGATCAACAATAAAAGTAGCAAAAATAAGAAAGAAAAACTCAAGGTTGCCTTGCCTGAGGAGGAAGAATCCACTACGACACAAGTGGCAACGCGGCTAACTAACCGCACGAACGTCCCGAAAGGGCCCAAAAGGTTCTTGCTACCCATCCTGAACAAAACATTGACACCAGAATGCGAGTTGAACATAGCGAAAGCCCTCTTCAAAGAATATTTGGAGAAAATACCAGACGCCGAAGTTGATTTAAACCCGGAAGATGAGGCGCAGAACGATATGGAAATGCTTAAAATATTCGGAACGGTCAAGGATGTCAATGATTTGCTGGACGAACAAAGTAAGTTTAGCAGTTAAAATGTGGATAAAATTAATGAAAAAAAATGTGTGTCGCTTTTGTCGCGTGATAGTGCGCGACCACAGAATATTTCTCAAAAGAAAATGCCAAGCAAATTTTATTGCCAGTGTGAAAAATATTTTAATTCCTTTTGGTGTCCGTATAAGGTTCAAAATCAATTCAAGTTTCGTTTTTGAACTGGCAGGGAGTTGGATAATGTGCTGCTGTTTGTACTGTACTGTTTATTATTGTTCTAAGCTATCAAAACAGCACAAGATTTCACAGCGTTAAGTTTGAATCGACATCTGTTTTATTTCAGTGGAATGCCACCTGAAAACGAACCACTTTGAGAGCTGGATTATGCTGGCCGTATTCCGCGGACACATCGATGATATGATGCAATTCGCCAGTCAGCGAGACATACTTTGCCCGTACCTGCTAAGTTTAGCGCCTTGTGTGTCGCTCAAGTAAGTTCACGGTTTATGAATAGCACTTTAAGGACTATCGTGTTAAGACTTAATAGTTGGCTTGGCACCACTGTGAATCTACGGTGGTGTCATCCTGGTGAGTGCAAATGTGATAGTCCTACCGCTTCAGCGCTCACAAGTTGGCGCCACTGTCTTCGCCACTAGCAAGTGACAGTGACCTAGCCCTTATTCAGCAGAATTTTTCAATTGTCAGTATTTTAACTGGCAGCCCTGCAACTTATTTTCCATATTTTTTGCTATTTTGTTTTGTTATGAATTTATCCAAATTACTTTAGAAAAATTCACCATGTGTAGTTTTACTTGCACCACTTTTTTTTATATACATTTAATTTTCGTTCTATGTAGAATTAATTATTGTCATGAATGCCATATGTATTCAAAGCAACAGCTTGTAAAAATAATGAAAAATATATTGTTATAGGTATTGGAAGGACGCGACCCAGTTATATTTGGCACAGATTGATAGATTGGTAGCAAAAGGAGAGGAACATAAGCTTTCAGGTATGTTTCATTTTTGTACTATGATCCATTTACACTAGCAGGTAATTTATATTTACCATACAAATTGGCGCGCTGCGCAAATCGTCGCTACAAATAGTTGTCAAATTACATTGAGTGAGCGCCGCTACAGGTTGTGACAGATGTTTCTCTGTTTGTGTGTGGTATCCAATAAGTTCGCAACACGTCTTTGTTACAATGGAATAAGGTTGTGCCAACTTTATCATGTCAATTGTACTACTTTTTGGCCTCTGTGTCACGCACTATTTGACGCCGACTGTACATAAGTGTGTCTTATTTCTCAGAGAATAAGAACTACGGCGGGTACGTGTTCCGCAAGACGGCGACTCAGCTGGGCGCGCACGACGTGAAGGCCGCGGTGCAGACGTTAGTGGACGCGCGGCTCTTCCAGGAAGCGTATATCTTGTGCCGGATCAGGTAAGGGACAAATGGGACCATACACCACCTTTTACTTCCCTAAATGGTGCGGACACTATGCGGGAAATTGGCCAAGCCAAGTCAACGTGAACTTAATAAGAACTCGACAAGTTTCTACATCCCCACCCCACTGTCGGCAAGTGCGCCCAAGTCAACTTACTGCTACTGAGTTACTTGCCAGATTGTTCAAGAGTGGAAACACGCGACTTAGGATTATCTTCGACCAGTATCTAGTCGTAATGTCGAGGCGAGACGAAGTTCTGCAAAACTGCCGAGTGCGCTCAATGGCTGGTTCCTTGAGCCTTCTGATTGAATAAGAAACCAGCGGGGCGACTCCCAAAAACGTACTCTGAAGTTCGAATGTTTCCATTCCTCTCACACAAAGCAAGAGCCAGCATGAGCGACAGTGACAAATACACCTGAAACTACGTATATGACGTTTAGGAGTAGCCCTGCTTGAGAATGCGTCGGTCTCATGTTATAGGTACAGCCCTAGCACGTAAAGCTATGACATAATACGCTGACCGTAACCAATCTTTGATCATCGTTCCAGGTACATGGACAGTATTGCTCAGGAGACGCTTTGGAAATGGGCACGCGACAACTTGCATGACGGACTCTACATTCGAGCTGCTATATGGTACGCTTTCAATCTATTATAGTCTGGTCTGCGAGCACGTAGAATTTTACACGCGAGGGATAAGGATGGGTAGCTTGGGGTCATTGGACAAAATTCTACGTGCTCGCAGACCGGGCTTTACATCCAAATACTCATTTGGTTTTAATTTGTTTCCAATGCTGTAAAAATATACCAATAACTTCATTTACAAATTTGTTTCTGCTACCTTCAATGAAAATTGACTGCCTATAAGTCGCTCCAACAGCGTTATTATTACATTAATGTCGATTTACTTTGTATGTTTAAGCAAAAGCTTCAGACTGGTTCTTAAACGAATATCTCATTTTTACAGCTACGTAGCTCTCGGAGAAATAGCGCAAGCGTCAGCAATGCTCGGGAAAATGAATGACGAGGGCAGTCTCAACCTCGCAGCTAGTATGGCCAAAGTCGTGGGCCAGAACTTGCTCGCTGACCACATCGCCGAAAAAAGAGAGAATATAAAAAGCACGGCTGAAACTGAGGACACTGAAGAGATACTGGAACAGTTGCCATCTAGAATTGAGCTGCTTATGAAAAAATCCGACAGTGAAATCAATGGGGGACCAAAAATTAATGGAGACAGTAACGTGACCAACGGACACTGTTCTGGGTTAAACGGAGGTGCTGTAGCCAACGGTCACAGTGCTGTGGCTAATGGTGGTGCTTATGTGGCCAACGGTGATGGTGCGGTGGCCACTGCAAGCCAGGAAACCAAAGAGTGAGATTTTAGAGTTAGTTCCTTTGTCAAATCGAGTGCCAACAGTATTTAATACTAATCATAATGCATTTATTTATTCGTGTGGGTTTTAATCTGTGTTACTATCATGTAAGCCTCGTATTTGATACTTGTAGCTGTAAGCTAATGAAGTACCAATTTGATATCCGCCTCCTATTTCTCTCACTACCCTACAGGGATACTTAGTCAGGTTAGGGTACCTACTGATAATTTACTTTTGTTGTTCATTTTGAATCTCAATTATGTTGATGAATCAATGTGAATTAATTTTAGCCTCCTTTTCACTTTGTTATTTTATGTATTTGTAAGTAAAATATGTGATAGTTATGATTACACATTTCCGATTTTAAAATTCTTCTCAAAGGAGCTTTGTTTTTTAGTTTTTAAGAATTATGTGTATATCTATGCGAGGTATCATTAAATGTTGTGCTCTAAATATATTGTTTTTATTGAAACAACGACATCAAATCACATCATTTATTAGTATACGTATCATATTTAAGTTTTTTTTAGAGAAATACAATTAATTAGAATCTTCGGTGCTGATTTAGTATTAAAATTAGTTTTGTGCATTTGTCAACAGGTTATTTTATGCAATCACATATCTAGTACTACTTTAAACAAAGCAACATTATGTGACAATTATATTGTGCAATATTTATGAATATTATTAATTTGTATTTATTACTGGATAAATATAATAATTTATATACAAGGGCATAAAATATAAATACTAAAATTTTACATTGCTATAAAAATATAGATTAGATTAAGTTTTAGGCACCACAGAAGATTAAGTACAGTCTAATCTAATAATACTATATTATTGTACCTTATTCACGGGGCATAACAATTTATTGGCAAATCACACACATGCGTATGCAATGGCACAGATTCTCACAACCGGCCAAACATTCTTCTAATATCTAAATAATAATATCGTTGTAAAATGCTTGTGGAATGTCGTTCCATTCAGTCTAACATTCGTGTCATGATCATCAATCAATTTGAATAATTTTTAAAATCACAATAATTTAATCAACAAATCCAGCTGTTGAAGTGATTCTAATCATTTATGACCAATACGTATTTTGTCAAGTCTACATTAAGGAGGTATCAATCAATGGCTGCTANGGCTGCTACTGCCGCAATATTCGTATTAGTCTTCATTTACGAAGTCAGTTTTCTTGCCTCTCTTCTTGCAGATGTCAATCAATTTTGTATTAATCTTCTTCAGTTTCTGGTTTTCTTTCATGACGTCAGATAACTGCTGAGTCTGAAAATATATAAGTGGATTTTTATTAATGACAAACGAGTCTAAAAAACCATAAAAATTGCACTCCAATGTCCATTTCTAAAACACTATAAATGAAAATCTAAGTTATTGATATCTCACCTGCACAATAGCGCTGCCCGTAGCAACATAGACGGGAGCAGAGGCGGCGGCGGTAGCCAGTTGCTGCTCCAAGGCTGCCTTCTGCTGCGACAGTCGTTCCACCGCCTGCAATCAATAGATAGGTCAGTATAAAGGCAAAAATAGAGATCGCTGCCTACATCGTGAAAATAATTGGTGGCAAGTGTTTGAAACAGGATAAAACATCTTATCTTCTAAATAAATATGTTCTGTAATACTACACATACGGGTGAAGATTTTAGGCTAGTTCGAGCTTGAAGTTCACGCTACTAAACTAAAGGACGTAAAAGTAGCGCCGACGTCATTAGCGGAATTCCATAAAAAATGTTTGGTACATACTCCTTACTTTTGGGATTTAGCAAATACTTACCATTTTCAGATGCTTCAGTTCTTTAGCCTTGTCGTCATTTGTCTGCCTTGAACTATCATCTCGCTCAACTTGATTGTTTAGGAAATCTGAAACCATATTAATTAGATTACTATTTACTAATACTTAATTAAAATATTAGAGTAACCACTGATGACATGAGACACACACATATCATTAAAACAGTTAATAGCACATCAGACTATACATTTTTGTTTCAAAATAGCACCTATTACGACGACAAGATGCTCCAATCAGAATCACTTGTTCAAGAAGAACTTAAGAACGAATCACACTGTGAAGTTTAATTTTTCCTATCTGACTATCGAACCTATATTCTAAGGTCGGGTACAGACGAGTGTAACGCGTAATGGAGTGTATTGTGTAATGTAATAGAAATACACTCGCGAGCAAAAGTATGGTAAACTATGGTATCACCCTATATGTTATGAAGATAAATAAAAATGGTACCATTTTAAAGGTAATATTATATACTTTAAATTAATACCATAGGTACATTCATAGGCATTCAGTTCTTATGATGGCTCGGAACAAAACACAAGGGGATGATTCCATACTTTTGCTCGTAAGTATAGTATGGACAGCAATTTACATGTAATGCGCGTAGTACCGTCCACACGTAGAATTCGTGTTACATTACACATTACATATTTACCGTCAGCGATCTGCGTGTCGGCGTCCGCAAGACTCGCCGCGGGGCGGCGCTGGTCGTGCGCACTGTGACGTTTCTTGCGCAGGAGAGAGATGTTGCCCGACTCCTCCGTGTACTCCGCCAACTTGGCCTGAAACGGATAAGTACCGCATACAAATAGACTGTCTAGGAAGCTACGATTTTATTGAATTGAATAGTTGATACCAGCACAGAATAATAATAAGTACTACGTACAGAAGTTTTACTTCGCGAAGGTATTTAAAAAAATGTATGCTCAATGTCATTAACAATATGGTGTAATTTAGCTTGTCTCAAGAGTCAAGCACCATTTTGTTGGTAGGGCTGACTTCGGTAAAATGATGTGACGTGAGGTGCCAAACTGCGGAAAATGGCGGAGGAAATACATGATTTAGCATGAATTATCATGAATAATATTAACTACTTATGTATTTACCTCTCAGTGTCTTGAGGCAACTTAAAAAAGTAAATTGTGTGTTTTTATGTGCAGTTAAATACTGCACAGTATTTAGTACACCATTTTCTTTATTATCTTCCATCATACACAAGAATACGCGTGCGTGAGTCAATGTTCGCTCGTATGTGAGGCCTTGTCGAATAGTATCCTGTAGGTGGGCCATCGTGCGTGTTTTGTTTTCGATGTAAACTCGCGGAGATGAACAGGCCTGATACCAGTAACAAAACTTTTGGTTTCGATATTATCATTAACTACTGAAGAACTCATTATTCCTTAATGCCCACTAGTAGGGTTTAACGGGAAGATCAATGGCGTTGTCTATTACTGGTGGATGTCGTAACTTTTTTCATGTCCAACGGTGGGGGACAGCGGGAATACACTTTTGATCAGGAACTCGAATCATGAGATGATCATGTCATGACACCAAATTAGAAAGGTTAACAATGTTACAAAATAATCCATATTATACAGAGAAAAGATACCACTGCGATGCTTGATGTGCTTTCGTCCGTATGCGGACATCTTACCCATTTCTCGTTCTATCGCATATCTAATAATATCTATACTAGTATTATAAATGCGAAAGTAACTCTGTCTGTCTGTCTCGCTTTCACGCCTAAACCACTGAACCGATTTTGATGAAATTTGGCATAGAGATAGTTTGAGTCCCGGGAAAGGACATAGGATAGTTTTTATCCCGGTTTTTGAAACAGGGATGCGCGCGATAAAGTTTTTCTGTGACAGACAAAATTCCACGCGGGCGAAGCCGCGGGCGGAAAGCTAGTATGAATATAAAACGGGTAGCTGGAATTGTGGCTCACTGTACAATGTTAGTTTTCCTTCTTAAAAATACAGTGTGAGTCACGTTAAAGTGCACATATGAAAATAGATGAAACTAAACGTATTTTTATCGACAAAAAAGAGGTCAAAAATTTTTTGAGATTTTTTTTAAATTTTTTATACAATTTTTTTTCTTCCAATTACTTATTGTAAAGAAAACGTAATAACTTTAAAACTAAGCGGTATATCCTGATAAAATAAAAACGGTAATAATGCTAAATAACAGGCGATACTAAAAAAATACATAAAATACACAAAAAATGCCATCAAATAATAAAAAATGACACTTTTTGAAAAAAATCTGCTTTTAAATTCGTGTTTTTTTGGTTATTTGATAAATTTCTCCAAAAAATGTCCCTATAACCGGTGGTTTTTATTACTTTGTATTATTCTCTATCGTATTACCTTCGTAAAACCAGAAATCGCATGGGTCTATCCCTATCACAACGTTTGCAATGATCGTTTGAACTAAGCCTCTCCGGGCGCGCCATTCAACGCTTCGTTAACAACGAAACTGAAAATGGCTCTACATTTGTAATTTTGATAAAGACAAGTTAGATTTCAATTAAAAACAAAAGATTTCGAAGTAAAATAATCATTTTGGTTAAAATTAAAATTGTCTCTACCTGTAGCGGAGAATAATGTTGTGGCAGACCTTTGTTCAAACGATGATAGCAAATGTTTTGATAGAGATAGAGACATGAGATTTTTGGTTTTACAAAGGTAATACGATAGAGAATATTACAAAGTAATAAAAACCACCTGTTATAGGGGCATTTTTTGGAGAAATTTATCAAATAACCAAAAAAAACAAGAATTTAAAAGCAGATTTTTTTCAAAAAGTGTCATTTTTTATTATTTGATGGCATTTTTTGTGTACAGTCTAANAGATTTTGCCTGACCTCCTCCCCCACCCCCTGATCTCACGTGAGATTTTCCAAAATGCGTATTTGCAATGTAAATAAGATAATCCATGCTTCGAAAATAGGTATTAGATTTTATAAAAAAAAAACAACCTGCGTAAAAAAATTAAGTGAAATGACAAAACAAAATAACTTAGGCCCAGTTTTTTTACTTTTAGTACAATTTTTAATTATTAGTTTACATTTTGTTAATATTTAAGCATTGGTAGTTAATTGCGGATCTAAAAACTGGGCCTGTGTTCACAAATGCAGACGGAGGATTTACTCTGTTTGTTGTGGAAAAAAATTACGTGATATTTCTCGACACCCCCCCTCCCCCACGTCCGATTAAGTAAGGTTTTTCTGGACCCCCTACCCCCCTAAAAGTCTCACGTAATTAATAAGCCCCTAAATACATTGTCTAGCAACGCCTCAGTGGCGTAACTATACCATCCGAGGCCCGTGGCAAATTCATTGAGGTGTGGCCTGACCTCTGGCATGCCATGATACTGAAACAGACTTATTTTGTAAAAAAAATCTTTTTTCCGAGCCCTTGGGCCCAGACTTGGGGCCCACTCGGGTCGGGGCCCATGGCAATTTGCCAGCCCTGCCATTAAAGTTTCGCCACTGCAACGCCTCCAGAATAGTTAACACCAATAATTTTAAGACAATTTACGGGAGTCACGTTATGACAGCTCATAAAAAGTATGTCAGTTATAACGGTCGTCAAGTACCCTATTTTTTATTCAGTAAAGTAATAAATGTATTTCTGTTTGGGACCATTCATATTTGGTCAATAATAATAATCGGATCAGCTACTTGAATTAATTATTATAACACAGCAAATACAATATAATTAAAATTGACAATTGTACAAGTTAACAATTTCACTGTCGCGCGTATAAGAGTAAAAACTGTAAAGAAAATATTATCACGCATATAATGATGTTAAGTTTGCCTTCTTCAATAGTACGTTAGTAAATTACTGTACCTCTAAAGCGGCCTTCGCTTCTTTGAGCTTGCGGCACTGTTCGTCTCGCTCTCGCAGGTACTGGGAGCACGTCTCGCACTCTTCATCGAGTTCTTTGTACCTCTCTTTCAGCTCCTTCAGTTCTTGCTTGCACGCTTTCAATTCTGCTTTAGTGTGTTCTAACTCTTTACTAAAAATTAAAAAAAAACATACATAAAGTGATAACAAAAATTGACGTCACTCAAATAGAAAAAAAAAAACTGCTGTAAAAATATTAATCCAGAATCAAGTCTGTCATTCAGGAAAAATATATAAAAAAATAGTGTAAATTGTATCTGAGTCTAATTTTTGAGTGAATTGATTGGCTACAAATTTTTGTACGCTAATAGGGCGTAAATTCACCTATACTCAATAGTTTATTGCTTTCATAGTGTTACAAAAGATTATTATTGATCATTACCTAGACTGAGTATTGCATTCATATAAAAATATTACCTATGGTCTTTATTGGCATGCTTTTCCAACGCCTTCTGCATCTTCGCGATCGTAAGTTTCAGGTCTTGCTTCTTGAATCGCAAATCTTCTATGGTCTTGGTCAAGCGCTTATTTTTGTCCACCTCCGCGTCGAATGACATTCGATCTACCACCACCGAGTGAAGATTTGACCAGTCTGAAATGGTTAAGTGATTTTAATACAAGTGTGGTGGAAATAAGGATCAAATTCGCAAATCTTGTTTAATGTTCACACATTTTCATTNGGCACTGATGTGTCAGAGACAAGTCATAGACAATATGGAGATAACACATGATTTTAAACGTCAAGTCAATTTGACAATGTCACAAATTTTCATCGTCCACGTATTTTGCTAAAATAATTTGTTTCAAAGATTGATTTCAAACTTGTATAAACGTGAAAATAAAGTTGGTTTCATGGGCTTGTTAAATAATGTGTATGATATTATGAACACGTAAGTGATTATGGTGTAATTGTGTATGAAAGTGTTTGTTTACATCTCTGCTGGATTCTAAAAAATCAAGGTATATTTTATGTATTTTTTTAGTATCGCCTGTTATTTAGCATAATTACTGTTTTTATTTTATCAGGATATACCGCTTAGTTTAAAAGTTATTACGTTTTCTTTACAATAAGTAATTGGAAGAAAAAAAATTCTATAAAAAATTATAAAAAAATCTCAAAAAAATTTTGACCTCTTTTTTGTCGATAAAAATAGGTCTAGTTTCATCTATTTTCATATGTACACTTTAACGTGACTCACACTGTATAACATTCCTAATTGTTAGCCTCTGTCTATAAATACTTGTATATTTTAAAGACTGTAAACCCTTGAAAAGGAGGCTGATAACACTGACTGAGTTTCTTGCGCTGCTTCTAATCAGCACTGGCCCATTTACTGTCCCGAAGCAGTGGTATGGTTAATACTGGGACGTGTAAAAGTGCTTTTTAAAATCCTATTTGCAAAAATAAATTAGTTTTATGAATTTTTATGAGTTTTTTTACTGTACCTCTAAAGCGGCCTTCGCCTCCTTGAGTTTGCGGCACTGTTCGTCTCGCTCTCGCAGGTACTGGGAGCACGTCTCGCACTCCTCATCGAGTTCTTTGTACCTCTCTTTCAGCTCCTTCAGTTCTTGCTTGCACGCTTTCAATTCTGCTTTAGTGTGTTCTAACTCTTTACTAAAAATTTAAAAAAAACATACATAAAGTGATAACAAAAATTGACGTCACTCAAACTAGAAAAAAACTGCTGTAAAAATAGAATGTATATTAATTCAGAATCAAGTCTGTCATTCAGGAAAAATAATATGAAAATAATACTGTGTAAAAATACATTATACAGTATCCTATTTTTGAGAGAACTGATTGGCTAGAAATTTGAGAATTTTTACACCCTGTTTGTAAATTCACCTAGATTTAATATTGCCTAAATTCAGATGAAATTATTACCTATGGTCTTTATTGGCATGCTTTTCCAACGCCTTCTGCATCTTTGCGATCGTAAGTTTCAGGTCTTGCTTCTTGAATCGCAGATCTTCTATGGTCTTGGTCAAGCGCTTATTTTTGTCCACCTCCGCGTCGAATGACATTCGATCTACCACCACGGAGTGAAGGTTTGACCAGTCTGAAATGGTTAAGTAATTTTAATACAAGTGTGGTGGAAGTAAGGATCAAATTCGCAAATCTTGTTTAATGTTCACACATTAATAAAAATAAAGTATTTGTGTCTTTAATAAATACCTTCGTCAGTGTTAACAGCAGCGTGACAGAACGTGGTTTTCGGCTCTTGTTGACTTCGGTTTGGATTTATAGACTGTAGTTTTTCTTTCAGCTCCGAAACCAGTCCCTGTAACATATCAACGATTGCGGTGAACAACAGTGTGGCTATTCTTCGTTCGTAAGTCGTCAACACAAAATGCATTTAACCACATAAAGAGGCACAATTTTTAACGAACTCGACTAAACCGGTTCGGACTCGTTTAATCGGGGAGCGAGTGAGTATTGCCGCGTGGTGGGGGTGCTACTCGCCTGTCAAAATGGAACAACATGGATTGGCTCGACCACTAAACGATTTAGTTAGTAGGTAATCGACAAAATTTTTGGTGTTCGGACAAGTTTAGTTACTAAAGAGCAAAATATTTGACGATTTGTAAGCACTATATTATAATAGTCTATAAAAATAAAGAAATTTTGACTTTGACTTAAATTACTCGCCACTCGACTAGTGCGAACAAGGCTTTAGTGCAATGTTTTAATAGATTGTTGCCTTTAAAGCAGTGTTACTGAGCAACATTGCCGATAAATTTTGCAAGTTCAAATTAATCCACACCCACCTCCAATGCAGCCTTCTCTTTCTTCAGCCGCGCGCACTGGTCGTCTCTTTCCCGCAAATACTGAGCGCACGTCTCGCACTCTTCGTCCAACTCGCGATACTGTTCCCTCAAATCTTCTAACTCTTGTTGGCACGAGGTCAAACGCTCGCGTAGTTCTGATACTTCATTGCTAAAGAAATAGCACGATTGATTATTATTAACTCAGGTTAATAGAACGAAATTAAAAAGCATAAACCAAGTCTTTACACAAAAATCATTTAGGCTGGGTTGCACCATCTTACTTTAACTGTGACAAACGTCAAAAATCTGTCAAACTCCATACAAAAAGCACCGGTTATTGTTAATGTACTGTCAAAGTTTGGTGGTGAACTCAGCCTTAATGATTTTTATTCCGACGTTTGTTACGGCTTATTTATTAAAAAATAGCGTCTCAAGAAAGGTACGAAAAAGCTGATGGGGAGAAGATGAATTGAATTCGTACCTGGGCACATAATTGTTCTCGTCATCGGTAGTTTTCATATTGTTTATTTCAGCAAATCTGCTTGTGTACCGTTCTGAAAGTAATATTTTTTTTATTGTGAAATTATTACAAAACAATGAACGCACAATGAGGGCTATCGTTTTAGCGCTCACCAGTTAGCGCCACTGTAGAGTAAGGTCCTGTCACTTGCTAGTAGCGAAGACAGTGGCACCAACTGGTGAGCGCGAAAGTGGTAGGAGGACTATCGCATTTGCACTCATCAAGATGGCGCCACTGTAGAGTAAGGTCCTGTCAATCGCCAGGGGTGCCAACTGTTAAGTATAAAAACGATAGCCCTCATTAATTTAAGAAAAATATAAATATGTAACTTACCGTGCGGTGAAGGTGTTTGTCGCACGCTCCGGTGTAGATCGTGGATGCTCTGCCGCCTGCGACGCGTTTCGGCCACACTGCTAGGTCGCGACACAGGTTCTTCGCTCTGACAAAATATACGCATTTATTCGATCTATTCGCGGTTAGAGTAGGCGCACACCGTTGATTTTTCGTCGACCGATAGTTTAGTCGGGCAGTTGATCAGTGTGGGCATGTATGGGAGTGCGCACACTACGCCGATTCGATTTGTCCGATTCTTCATACAATTTGAAATCGGGCACAACTATCGGCCAACTAAAAATCAACGGTGTGCGCCTACTCTTAGACTTCAGCAAACTCTTTGGAATTCAAACGGTGATGTGAAAAATCAATTTTTAACAAGTAGGTCAAAATATCCTTTGGGTTATAATTTAAACAAAGAAGTAACAGATTTTAAAATAATATAAGTATTAGGTAATTTTTGTCCTTTGAAATAAATAAATTATTTAAACCGTTCAGTTTTTGTTTTCTTTTACTATGTGGCCCAGAACATGAGGCGAGATAAAACATAATGCAATAGAAAGACTAAATATTGTACCAACTTAAACACATACCTGATCATGTTTGGATAAGCTGTCTCTTCTGGAACAAGTAAACATTTTATTATAATACCACATATAAGTAAGGATACATAAAATACAAGAGTTTTAAATTGGCACGTTTCAAGAGGAATAAAATTGCGTTTCATCTAAATTTAGATCTTTTGACGTCAAATACATGCATATGGAGTGACATCTGTCGATTCGCTGCATGGGTTTCCTCATGAATTGCATCTATTTAACATATATTTGTTCATATTTTTATCTTGCAATCTAAAAACAAGTCAGTAAGGTCGAAAATCTGTCTTCTAAAGTAATGGCAGTGTGAATTTTCTTACCCTTTGCTGTTTCTACGGGGCGTGCTTCCATTGGAACTGTCGTCATCATCTACGTCCATGAAGAGGTCTGCTGGTTTTGATCGGGATTCAAAGACAGCATCCATTTTGTTATGATCTGAAACAACATAGAAATATGGAATATAATATATTGGCGTATAAATACTAATATGAATAACCTTCTCCTTTTTTGAAGTCGGTTAAAAAGAAGAAAGATTTTATTGTTTGTTTGTATTGAATAGGCTCTGAAAGTACTGGACTGTAAAGGTCAGTTGTGAGTGTTTTAAGTGACTGAAGTATTTTTATTGCATATTTTCAAACATGCTGTCTTATTACAATACATACTTTACATTGTTAAATGCGCAAAGCTCAAAAACAAAGGAAAGTTACTTCTCGCAAAAATATTTTTAACTTTCTTACCTCCGTGATCCTTTTCAGAGAACATTCGCTTAGAATCGTGAATGCTTTGGCGGCGCCTGCGCACAGTGTCGGCAGTCGCTTCCATCGAGAGGCGGGGCTTGTGACCATTCTCCAAATCCATTTCCATCTCCGAAAGTCGCATCTGTACACATATTAAATTAACATTTTAATAGACAGTAAATAATAAAATAGATTATGGTTTTGGTAAAATAGACTGTTGAATATTAGATTATCACGTCAATGATATTGTAAGATTTGTTCTAACTACAGGAAATTGCTTGAAAGATTTTTGAACAACTTTTTATTTATTAAAGAGATGACTGACTGCCAGTCGTCCTGTGGCCAGTGTCGTACTGTAATGAAACTTAAATTCCCATGTTTGCCACCAGGGCGGCGCTATTTAAGAGTGAGTAAGTAACTTTTTTAAATGTTTCTGACATTGGGAGTCTGGCTTATGATCTTAGCATGTTTTTCTTGAATTTAAGAATATGCAGTCTTGACTCCAGTTCCTAACATTTGAAACAAAGCCTCTAAAAAATTACATTTAAAAGGCATTGCGCGATATAACAAATATGTATTAAAGTTTATATAACAAACCTCCAAAGCTTCTTTTGCGCTCTTCATTGTATCCAATTCTTCTCTAGATGTTTTAATATTATTTTTCATAACTTCACAGTCTTTCGTTAAATCTGAACATTTTTGGGTGAGTTCTTCCAAATGTTTGTTCTTTTCTATGAGAGCTTTGTCTACATCTTCTTTTTGTTTTTGAAGTCTGAAAGATAATGCGCGTGTAAACTTATAAAACATGCAAAAATAGTTTTGTCGACTCATGTAATAAATGTTACCACATCAACGAAATTAAATATTTATCAAAAAGAAAGTAATTCTTACCTAATGATCATTTTGCTCTGTATTTCAGCCGTCTTTTCGTGAGTCTTGATATTCATTTCCAACCTGGAACAATCCTGACATTTCGCTTCGAATTGTTCCTTCAGTTGTATATTTTGTTGCAACAATGATTTCGCTTCCTGCTTCAAATTGTCGATGACGGTTACATTATCTTTTACAGATTCACGCAACACTAGTAGGTCTGATGTCATTTTATCCAGCTCCAATCTGTTTGATTTCAAAAGTTCTCCAGATTTCTCCAATTCTAACGCTGACAGCTCCTTTTCTTTTAAAATCATTTCGTTGACTGACTTCAAATGGTCAATCTCTTGTTTGTAAAGTGCCAGTGAATTATAAAGTTCGGTCAACTCATTTTCAGATTTTTCGCTTGTATTGCTCATAGCATTTTGCAATGCAGTTTCTTTTTCAAGTAATGTTTCTTTTAATGTTTTGATTTCTTGACTTATCACATTAATTGTGTTTAGATGAGAGCTGTTTTCTTCTACTACACTTTGGTACCTTTTATTTAGCTCTTCAATGACTGATGTTTGAACCTCCAATTTATTATCTTTATCATTTACATTAGATAGAGCCAATTGGAATTCTTCTTTTAATTTGTCGTTTTCAAGCTTCAAAGTTTGTAGATCCTTTTGCTGTTCTTCTATTTCTGCTTTAGATGTCTTAATTTCTAAGGTGAGTTTTTCTTTTTCAGTATCAGTTTGATTTTTTAATTCTGTCAATAAGCGATCGAATAGCGTATTTATATTTTGATGAATCGGTAAGGTATTGTCGAAGTCACTGGAGCAGAGGACGTTGTGTTCAACTAGTTTTTTGCAGCCACTCACTATAGTCTGGCAAAGTTCTTGCTCCTTTCGTACTAGGTCTAATGTTACTGCATTGCTTATTTCATGAATCTTTTCCTTCTGTGCCTTCAGTAAATTATATTGATTTTCCCTTTCAGTTAGCTGACTCTTCATCTCTAGTAAATTGTTCTTAACGGAATTTAGTTCTTCAGTTACACTTTCCATGTGTTCTTGCAATTTAGAGTATTGATTCGTAATACTTGTTAAAGCATTTTCATGTTTACTAACTAGACTATCCATAACCATGTCAAAAACGCCTTCAGCCGATAACTCAAATTCTTTATCAATGATATTTAATAACTTTTCTTTGAACATGGCAATTGCTTTAGTATTATTATTGGAATGACTAAGGTTCATTATTTCTTCTTGTATCAAAGTTATATTTTGTCTAATCTGTGACAAAGAATTGGTGACTGTTTTAATGTTATTTTCTTTCTCCTCTAACTTAGTCGTTAGCTTAGAATATTCAGTGGACAGCTTGTTCACGTGGCCCTCTAATTGTTTTTTGGATTCTTCAAAGCATTTTATTTTATTTACTAAGTTTTCAACTTCGTTATTGTGTTTTAAAACAAAGTCGTTGTAGAATAATTTCATGACATCTATGATCTTTACGTTGCCATCTAGGTTTTCTTTATCAGCTCCAGTTTTTTCAACATAAAAAGTTATACAGTCTAACTTTTCAGTAGAATAGATATCCGGCTGTCGTTCTGACGGAACGTTCGGCATCGTAATTCTATTTAATTGAGTCTCAACTGTATCGAAATGTTTGGTAATTGTGAAAATATTTGATTCACCCATGCTTTCATCTAAATCCATATTTTGTTCTACAGTTAAATTACTGCGTTCTAAGTGATTCTTTATGGTGGCGACTTCTTCAGTTAGTTCTTTGCAATCTTCTCTTCCTGCGTGTAACTCATGTTGAAGGGTGCAAATCTTATTGTACCTAGATGAAGTATCCGAGTCACTGAGACTCCTATTCAATTTTGAATGTATCTCAAACTTTTTTAACGTACTTATAACGTCATCTTTTATTTGACACTGTGAACAATCTAATTTTTCGTTATCATCTGTCTTAGGTTCATTATGTATTTTTTCTAAATCTTTACATTTCTCAACCAACTTTGCATTTTCGTCTTTAATGTTATCTAGCTCTTTATTTAAATCATCTGTTTCCGAAATATTTTCCATCAACTGGTTGGATAAAGCATCGTTTTCTTGTTGAAGAAGTTTTAGCTCTTCATTTTTGCTGGTTACCAAGTTTTTCAGCCTTGTTATTTCTTTAATATTACCGCTCAACTCTTTCTCAAAGATGTTTAATTTTTTAACAAGCGCATCAGTAGATGGAATTTCTAATGAAAGATTTTTGTATTTATTTTCAAAATCCGATCTTTGCGCGTCGACATCGCGAAGTTTTTGAGCAAGTAATTTAAATTCCTCCTCTAATGAATGGTGTTTTTCTTTGAGGCTCTCACACTCCTCACATTTAAATAAACATTCGTCGATGGATGTATCTTTTGCCTTTATAGGACTGCTGTGAGCATCTTTTGCGCCAGTTTTCTTCAACGAATAATCATTTATTTGTTTCTGTAGATCTTTATTTACCATTTCTAAAGCCTCCATCTTTTTCATAATTTCGATATTATCTTTTGTCAACGATTCGACTTGAGATCGATTTGTACTGTCCAAATGCTCCAAGTCATCGGTTTGGCAACCAAAATCGTGGTTTGCATAAGCTTGTGTCATGTCTAAGCATGTCTGATCCATCAACGTGTTATCGGCTGAAGTCGTCAGGGTTAAGTTGGTGTCTAACATTAGAAGATCGCCATCTAAAGTAGATTCATTTTTAGCATTTTGCAAAGTACCATTATTATCTAAAATAATTGGTAATGAATATCTCTTGCAACTGGCATTGAGCCTATCGAAGTGTGGGTCACCTTTCAGAATTGTCAGCAATTCAAAAAGTTGTTTCTTTACAACTGGTAAATCTTTTTGACAGACATTGTGAAATCGGCTATGATGGTGCTGCAGGACTTTTACTTGAGATCTGAGCGATTTGTTTTCAGCATAAGTCGTAGCTGTTAAGGTCGACAGATTAGTTTTGTGACTGGCTATTTTCTTCTGCAGTTCATAAGCTGGTTCTGCTAGAAGCTGTATTTCGCGACGCACTGCTTCATGTTCTGATATAAGTTGCCGATTTACTGCTTCCAGTTGCTCGACCATCTTTTGCAGTCTTACATTTTCTATTTGCGCTGATTTTAACTCTGGCAATAATGTAGGACACTCACAACTAACAAATTGTGTTTCCTTATGCTGATATTCAATGCTTGTGTTTGAATCGGAAGGAGAAACTGAGTCTTCGTTGGGTTGTATGTACTCTACAATTTTGTTACAACAAATTGTTAAGAGACTTGGCGGACCGACTGTTTCTATTGTGTGAGTGGTGGTACTCAATGATTTCCTTGGATGATTGGCACTAAACTCTTCATTATCATCGATGTTTTGTATTTCAATGGAACTTTTTCTAACATTTAAATTAAGCTCTAATTCCGAACATCTTGCTTCTAGATGGTCCTTATCAGCTTGCAAACTTTTAAGTTGTTCTTTCATTATTAGATCAAGATCAGTGAAATTATCTTTCAGCTCCTGTGCCTTGGCTACCATGTTTTCGATTTCATTTGCTTTTTCATTCAATTCCTTCCTCAAAGAGCTGATAATTTCATTACTTTTGAACATATCGTCATTTAATAGTTTATTTTCTTCTTTAATCCTTTCCATCTGTGTTCTCAAGTTTTCATTGGTTTCTAATATGTGAGTGGCATTTTTGTTATTTTCATGTATCTGTATTGTATGATTTCCTAATTTATTAAGGACCAGAAGAATTTTATCGTATGTGCTGTGATTATTATTTTCAAATTCAATATTCACAGAAGCTGTAGCAATGGATGCAAGTTCGAATATAGTTTGTAGTTGATTATTTCTTTCATCAATATCTTCATTCAGCCTTGAATGAAGCCGTTCTAGATCCGAGGATTTCTCTTCAAGACATTTCTCTGCTTTCTTTATTGCCTCTCGAAGGTCAACAATCATAGTATCTTTTTCTTGCAGTGCAGTATCTGACGACACATCTTTAGATTCAATGGTGTTGCGGAGATGTTCTATTTGTTGTCTAAATTCGTTATACTGTTCATCTGTTTCTCGTTTCAAAACATCTAATTCTGATTGGGTGGACTGTACTTTGTCAGTCAAAGATGCTATAATGTGTTCTTTGGCTAATATGTCTTTGCGTAAGCTCTCAGTATTGTCGTCATAACTATTCAAATTGGTTTCTAACTCAGTAATTTCTTCTTTTTTCTTTTTTAGCTCCTCATTAATTTTATCACGTTCATTGGTCTGAGTGATTATTTGTTTTGACAAATCCTCTTGTAGTTGTTTCAGATTCCGATTATCTTCTTCCAAAGTTTCAACTTTATCTTTCAGCTCTCTAACTTCCTTTTCAAGTGTAATATTCGTTGTCTTAAGATTATTATTTGATTCAATGTTTAACCCTAATTCTAATTCTTTTTGTGACATAAATTCGGTGACGGTGGTGTCTAAGGCAGTTAAGTGACCTTTGAGTGAAGTGAAAACTCCGGGTACATTATCCATTTCACTACATAATTCTAAAGAACTAGTGGTAGAGAATTTTCTCAAAATATTTTCTAAAACCGGCATTATTGAATTGGCGTGAGTAAGATATTCTTGTGACTGCAGATCAGATGTTTTCAAAGTGGCAATAAGATTATCTTTTTGTTTATCTCTTTTTCTAATTCAACCACTTTTAAGTTTAATTCTCCTATTTGTTTGTCTAAGTCTTCATGTTTTTGTTGGAGTTCCTTTTCAATTGAATCTTTTGTAGTCAAAGTTGCTAACATTTCGTTATGACTTGCTTTCAATTCATCCACATACTTTGTTCTTTCATTGTATTGTTTTTCTAATAAGCTATTTTGTTCAGTTATATCAGATAATTTGCTATTAAGCTGTTGTTCAATAGCTGTTAAGTTAGTCTTTTCTTTCAAAAGATTATCGATAGTTGCTATATTTTTATCTATTTGATCTTGTAAATAAAATGCGTTTGAATTTAATTTTTCTATCTCAGTTTCTTTTAGCTTCAATTGTTCTTGCAATTTACTTTCATTCTCCGTTAACGTTGAATGCTTCGCAACTGCTGATTTTAGTGATTCAATCTCTTTATGTCGGGAAACTAAAGCTATTTTAAATGAATGAATAATATTCTTCATATTATCATTGTTAGCAATAAACTTTTCTTCATTGGCAATCATTTTTTCTAAATAATTTTCAGTAATATTTATATCTAGTATTTTATCTTTATTAGTTAATTTAATTTGTAGTTCTTGTATTAAGCTGTTGTACGATTCTATGTCGTTATTAGCAGATTCTATTGTAGCTTTCTGACTTTTGATTGTTGAATTAAGAGTATCGACAGTATTTGTTAGTAAATCTTTTTCATTTTCTAAAGCGTGAATAAGTTCCTTTAATTCTTCAATACTTTTTTGAGATTCCCGAGTGGTATTTTCTAGGGATAGAATCCTTTGTTTTTGAGATAAAAGATCAGCCTCTAACTCTAAAACTGATTGGTTCTTGGAGGATTGTATTTGGTTTTGCATGTCCTTTACAAGGTCTTGAACTTGGGAGGTAGTTTCGTCGTCATTTGTAGTTAAATTGGTGACACTACTTTCATTATCACTGTTGACTAGTGAGATATCTTTTGACATATCCATGAAGTTGAGTTCTTTTTCAAGATTACGAGTCAACAATTTACCTAGTAAAAATAAAGTAGTTATTTTATGTGAAAATAAAATAAAAATAATAACTTGATCACTGTCGTCTTATTTTGTATCAAATGCTGTGTGAAAAACTTTTGAAAAATCTGATGTAAAGGCAATATTTGTAAAACTTACTATTGTCATCTTGCTTTTTGTAGACTTTTTGTTCATCTAGAAGAGATAATAACTCATCTTCTCTGCGTTTGGATTTAGACTTTAGAGTATCGAAGCTGACTTCCCAGTCAGTTAGTTTGGTAGTGTATTCTTTACAGAGTGCTTCTAATTCAGCCTGAAAACAAAATAATCGTTTATTAATTGTTTCGGTAAAGTTGTTGCATGTTCCAGTTGCGTTTCTATCTTACCTTTGCAGTCTCCACATTCCTTATTTCGTCATTCGATTTGCTTACTTTAACTTTTAATGAGTCAATTTCCATATCTTTTTCTTTGCTTTTCATGTTGAGTATTTGAACTTCATCTTGTAACCTAGTTATCACAGTATTGTTTTGTTCTAACTTTTCTATCAGTTCAATCTGGAACATCATAAATAATAAATAAATAAATATAGAAAAAGAACATAAATCAACAAGAGAACCCGGCCAATTAAGACTACTTACCACACTTGGTGTGTAAATTTTCTCCCTCTCAGTAAGCTCTACGATATCTTTTAAATTCTTTTCAGCCTGTTTGGCATTCTTTCTTAAAACACACGGAGGAGTTTTGGATGAACCTGTGAGACGATATAATTAAGACGTTATAATTTTTATTCTAGTATTTTGTATTGTACACCCAAAAAAGAAATAAATCTTACCATAACATTTGTGATAAGGAGAACAGGTCTGGATGTCAAGAGCGCTGTTGTCATCATCACTATCTGTAACAGAACATGTTTGTTTATTTATATTAGCTTCTTAACGTGGTCTAAATCACGCATCCCGCGAACAAAATACACCATTTTTAACTCTATTATTTTTGCAAGAAAGACTAAATTGGTAAAGCAGTTTGGGCGTGAAAATTTATTAAATATGAAACTACATTACTGATACAGTGTGCCCTCATTGGCGAAAAAAGACAAGTTCATTGCCATCAACAACAAAAAGAAGAAACTATTTCTTTATGAGATTAGGCCATACTATAAACAGTAAGCATCTTCTTCATTAAACAACTTACCAAGTTCAATGATTTCATCATTGAAGTTGACTTTCTTATTGTATGGGGGCGGAGTTATCAGCCTGTTTTCACTCTCTTCCGGCAAACAAGACAAACTGTTCCCTTTACTAGCATTCTGGATCGGCACAAAATCCGTTGTGGGAGCGCCGGGAATCACCATGGGGCTACAAAAATAGTTTATCAAGTAATATACACACAATGAACCAACCAAAATTGCTTGGTCAGGCTGACTTTCTTAAGGTTCGGCCAAACCAACGCGATCACACGCGATCAGCCGGCGTGCAGCGATGGCGACCAGACTTAAATGCATTGATCGCCATCGCTGCACGCCGGCTGATCGCGTTGGTTTGGCTATACCTTTAGTTTTTCGCGATGCGTCAAACATAAAGGCCTATTCAGACCTAAGCGGTATTCGCTACCGTCTGCGGCAGAGAAAACCCAGTGGGTATGCGGTAATAATACTGTTCAGACCTAAGCGGTATTCGCTACCGTCTACCTATGTACCTCTACCCACAGCGGCAGCGAATACCGCTCAGGTTGCTCTAGCCGCGATACTTGATACTAAATACCTGAGCGAAACCCGCGCGGTATGTACCTCTACCCACAGCGGCAGCGAATATCGCTCAGGTTTGAATAGGCCTTAAAACGCGCGGGGGCGGCACTATGGACACTCGAATAAGATTTCATATGTTTAATTTCTTATTCGAGACCAAGCACAAATAGTTAATCCCTGATATATTTCAGTAACTAGTAGANCTAGTAGATATCGAAGCCATAAAAAGCAATAATACATACTTGTACTTCAGAAGTGGAGTGTGAAACTTTGGCACTGAGGGCACAGGGTTCTCCTCTATAGGATGTAAAGTGGATATGGTGATTCTGCGCGGCGGGACCAGTTTTCGGCGACTGCCTGCCATCATATCCATTGAGCTCCGTTGCCCGAACCCGTTCAATATCAACCGTTGTAAGGCCGCTATTTGCTTTTGCAAATTGAACTGTAAAACAAATAGAATAGGGATGTTAAATGGGTACTTTTTCTTCTTGAGCATAGATAAAAAATACATCACTATTCTAAGGGTCGCCGCATTCTGGCTTCACGTCACAGCCACAAAACGCTGTCAACGGTATATTATTTACATACATTTTCGTGTGGCGGCCACCAGTGTTTTGTGGCTGTGGCGTGAAGAAGACCGTGTGTGGCGACCCTTATCTTCAAAAGCATATCAGACCAAACATATTTATTGCAAAATAGCACATATAACAAAACAACTACATAACATGCTACAAGACAATTAATTTAAACACAATACGTGCCTCCACATTTTTCTTGCTTTCGAGCATAACTTCCAAGTTCTTCTTGGATTCCAGCTGAGACTGTAGTTTTGATAGTTGTTTCGTCAAGCTCTGTATCATAGTCGCATCTGTGGCAACAGCGTTTACTTCTGGTTTGTTCTTAATTGCTTTGGCTCTATTTGCAAACCTGGAAAAATAATTGATTAAATCGTAAGTCAACATATTATAAACACACATATAATATGATACACTGCAAGCTAAGTTTCTTGAGTGGTCTGTACGGTTAGCACGAAAAACTTTCGAGTTCGAATCGTTTGCGTACTCGAATCGCCATCAAAAGATTTAGTACGAAAACTACAACAGCGCCCTTGTGAACGTGTCGTAAAGTGAACTTAGTATGAGAAATGGTTGCACGAAACTTATTTTGAGAATCAAAATTGTCGTCACGTTATCGTTTAATTCAAAGTTTGAGTATCGAATTTTGTCGAGTACGCAAACGATTCGAAGACGAAACTTGTTCATGCTAGAGGTACTGGTTTAGTTAACCCATATGAAATATAAGTCCCAACAGATTAAAGACTTTTTAACAGCCAATAGGTTGGTCAGCTTCTAATTTGGATTAGGAATCAAATACCAAATTGGTGTAATGTGCATACTTTCTTACCAGACATCGGTCGACAAAGTCTGTGTAGTCTGGGACTGAACAAAGGCTGATTTGCACTATCATACTTTACTTTAACAAACGTCAAAAATGTGTGAAACTCCATAAAAAAAAACTCTGGTTATTGTTTTAGTTACGTTTAGTAGTTGGTGCAACTCAGCCTAAGGTGTTTAGTAAGCTTAGCTTGTGCTGTGAGCCAGCTCTTATAAATAGCAGGTGAAGATACTAACTGGAGCGTGGAGATGGTTTCCTCAACCGCTGCAGGCGTGATGGCGCAAACAATACTTGTTTTGGCATTTCCACCTAACGAATTCTGGAGTATACGCGTCAATTTGCTGTCGCGGTAGTTGACGTGCCTGTAATAATAGATCAAATAGTATTCATCATTATAAGCTACAGGTTTCAGGATAAGACTAATCTTATCTAAAATATGCAATGTAATGATTGGAAGTTGTTGGAATTCTTACTGAGATTAAAAATGAAAAGTGCACATATTTATTTATTTAAAAAATATTGGACACAAAAAAAATTGCAGTACAAAAAGGCAAACTTTTGCCTTATGGCATTCTCTCCAGCCACTTCATCAGATTTAAATTCTATTTAGAATTTAAAGATTGCAGTTCATCTACAATTACATATTAGTCAAATAAGAAAATATCTGCTACAATAAAATAACTACTTTGCATAGCAAGAAAATCTCAAGACAGCTTACTTGTTCTGATCTTCCGACAGTTGTTTTATGACTAGTGCAAGTGTGGATAGAGATTTATTGATGTGGGTGCCTTCTTTGAACCTTATGCCGGTGGCACCAGTTTGACCTGCTCTCTCCGAGCCGGCCAGGTCTACCAGGTTGAGCTGGGACACGTTGACGCATCCCACCTCCGCTTCTCCCTCTATGTGTTCACGGGACTCTATGGTCTAAACAAACATAAATACAGTGTGAGTCACGTTAAAGTGTACATATGAAAATAGATGAAACTAGACCTATTTATATCGACAAAAAAGAGGTCAAAATTTTTTTGAGATTTTTTTTTTATTTTTTATCGAATTTTTTTTCTTCCAATTACTTATTGTAAAGAAAACGTAATAACTTTTAAACTAAGCGGTATATCCTGATAAAATAAAAACAGTAATAATGCTAAATAACAGGCGATACTGATAAAATACATAAACTACCCAGAAAATGCCAACAAATAATAAAAAATGAGACTTTTTGAAAAAAATCTGCTTAAAAATTCGTGTTTTTTTGGTTATTTGATAAATTTCTCAAAAAAATGTCCCTATTACAGGTGGTTTTTATTACTTTGTATTATTCTCTATCGTATTATCTTTGTAAAACCAAAAATCGCATGTCTCAATCCCTATCACAACATTTGCTATGATCGTTTGAACAAAGACCTGCCACAACATTATTCTCCGCTACAGGTAGAGACAATTTTAATTTTAACTAAAATGCTTATTTTACTTCGAAATCTTTTGTTTTTATTTGAAATCTAACTTGTCTTTATCAAAATTACAAATCTAGAGCCATTTTCAGTTTCGTTGTTAACGAAGCGTTGAATGGCGCGCCCGGAGAGGCATAGTTCAAACAATAATTGCAAACGTTGTGATAGGGATAGAGACATGCGATTTTTGGTTTTACGAAGGTAATACGATAGAGAATAATACAATGTAATAAAAACCACCGGTTATAGGGGCATTTTTTGGAGAAATTTATCAAATAACCAAAAAAATACGAATTTTTAAGCAGATTTTTTTCAAAAAGTATCATTTTTTATTATTTGTTGGCCTTTTTTGTGTATTTTATGTATTTTTTTAGTATTGCCTGTTATTTAGCATTATTACTGTTTTTATTTTATCAGGATATACCGCTTAGTTTAAAAGTTATTACGTTTTCTTTACAATAAGTAATTGGAAGAAAAAAAATTCGATAAAAAATTAAAAAAAAATCTCAAAAAAATTTTGACCTCTTTTTTGTCGATAAAAATAGGTCTAGTTTCATCTATTTTCATATGTACACTTTAACGTGACTCACACTGTATAATAGTTGCTATGAGTAGGTTGTTATACAGGGTGTCCCAAAAAGTAGTGTCAAGCCGAAGCCCAAAGTTAAAAGGCTGTATAGTCTTTGGAAACCATTAGGCAAAATTCCCATTATTAAAAATATTTTTGGAAACTGAACAGGGAAATAAAATACAATTCACAATTTACAATAATTAAGCATGTACTTACAATTTGAAATATTGAATGAGATCTACTGCTTTCTTCATTCATATTAGTTGCACCTGTCTGCCTGTTCGCCTCACCCTACAAATGGAAATATATTGTTAGTAAACATCCTGTGAGGAATCTTTTTAGAAATAGGTATTTCCTAATAGTAGTAGGGATTTGTAACCTTTCCATTACAAGTAATACAATTCTTATTGGTCACATTCAAGACATCGTTGAAATCAATCTTCTTTTGTCATGAGGGTTGTGTGAGGTATAATTCAATGTTAGAATATTACATACCTCTTTTAAATATTTCAGCACTTCTTCCGGCGATGTGGTAACTTGTTCTGTGCAGTCCACTTTGACACCTTGCAGAGTTTCATGTACCTTGACATTCTTCTTGTCATTCAGCAGGTCTTTCACTGTTTCGTTGTAGATTTCTATGTACGACACTCTGTAAAGTTAACAATTATTTTATGGGACTATTTACATACTACATTATTGTGCTTTAATAAGTGGCATTTGTCTCAAAATACATAATTATTTGAGAAAAATAATGTACTGTTTATGAGTATGTACTATACATTCTATGACAAACAACAGTTACGGGTTTCAGAAGTTAATAAAAATGAATAAATAAGGAATAAGGTACCTTACGAGGAAATCTCTGTCGGGTATATTCTTGATGATTTCAAACAAATTAAACACAGCAAGCGGTATGATGCCTGGGGACTCTTCTGTGCCTGTCATAGTATAAGTTTTGCCTGAGGAGGTCTGTCCATATGCGAATATAGTGCCATTGAAGCCAGCTGTTGCTGCTTCCACAATGGGCTTCGCAATGTCATTGTAAATATCACTAGTTTTGGTTTCTGTGTCATAAACTTGATCTGAAATGTACAAGTATAGTTTTTTACAGATAGTGACCTTCACTCATGACGTATACAGCAATCCTTATTAGAATAACAATTGATTTCTCTCGAACCACCAAATATGCAATGTAACCTGTAACATAAAAATGTACTTACCGAATGTAAAACACGATCCAAAGTCCCGACCGTTCTGATCCAGCTGGTATAAGGTGTTATTCTTTACGCGCCATTGATAAGAAAGTTTCTCTTCTAATTCACGAGGAATTAGAGGTCTAACTTTGACAACTACTTTGATATTGTCACTCATTTTGCATGAACCTTTGAAATTAATAAAATCTAATTATCATTAGTTCGCTATTATTGAAGCGTTTAGCAGATACAATGTTAACATTTTCACTTTTCTTGAAATAGAAAAACACGAAAAATAACCAATTTGTTTACACACAGCCATAAATCCAACCGACTTTTCAAATTTATTTTTTTATTAAAGTGCTGTGACTAAACTAAGCTCAATTGTCATACCAACATGACGCGCAAAACGATTATTCAATTGAATGAATCGATTCCGAGGTTACTATGTCCTTAGTCGATTATGGATTTTGGTGCAAAGTAATGCAGTGCAAAGCCAATATTAAAAAAAAACTGAAAAAAAGTAATGTCAGTGTCAAAAGCATGTGTTGATTTTTTTTGGGTGAATGTGTTGCGTTGCGCGTTTTAATTTATTCATTTTATTGTGATAAATTACAATTTAAACTAAGAAAATGCAACACGACGATGTAAGTTTTAGTGCATTATGTAACATTTATTCCGGTTTTATTTAGAAATGGTTCCGGTGTTAAAATTTTGTATTTTTTTAGGTTGTATGGGCCATCATCAACAAGAGGCATTGCTCACATAAAGTAACGTAAGTACTTAATAATATAATTTGTCCCTAAAACATGTTTCCTTTATCAAGTATAAAAATAGTCCTCATAAAGTATTTTTCGTTTTACAGGACAAAAACGCAGCATTTCTGCCGTAATGAATATAACCTCACCGGGCTATGTAGCAGGGCCTCCTGCCCTCTAGCCAATAGTAAATACGCAACCGTTAGAGAAGAAAATGGTATCATTTACTTGTTCATGAGAACAGCTGAAAGGTACCCAATATAACTTAAATTTTACGTGAAAATATATGAATTCAAATGTAAAGTAAACAAGAAACAAACACAGCTGCTTAATAAATGATTTAAACATCATGTATTCCTTTATTTCAGAGTGATGTTTCCAGCAAAACAGTGGGAAAAAGTGAAACTGTCTCGCAACTTTGAGAAGGCAATTCATCAGATAAATGAAAATCTTTTGTACTGGCCAGCTTTCATCAAAGCGAAATGCAAACAAAGATTTGTTAAAATAACACAATATCTCATACGCATGAGAAAACTGAAACTGAGACGAGTGTAAGTATTTTTATTAGTAGCATTTAGCTATTTATTGCTTTGGATAATTGTCTGCTTTGTTGTAAAAGATATTAAAAAATTTGTGTATGCATTTCCAGACAACTATGAAAATATAAATTAGTATTACAAATTAATAATTATTGCTGTCTCTTGAATTTCAGAAAGGAACTGGTACCAATACAGCGTAAGATAGAAAGGAGAGAGAGGAGGCGTGAAGAAAAAGCATTGGTTGCGGCCCGCATAGACAACGCCATAGAGAAACAACTGCTGGAAAGACTTAAGAAAGGAACTGTGAGTATCATTTATTTTATCATTGTGATAATTCTTCTAGTAATGCTGAAATCTATTCTGTATATCTTAATTTTTTTATCCTTACATACAAAAACATTGGCACTTACAAAAAATTACCTTTACTTTCTACATCAAGTCTATATTTTCGCTCTTGAAAGGTTTTTTATGTTCAATAACATCTTATATTTAATTTTTCCAGTACAACGACATATACAACTTCCCACAAATGGCATTTGACGAAGCGCTCAAAGCGGAAGAAGTTTCCGCCGAAAGTGAGAGTGAGAGAGAAGATGACGACGAAGAAGATAGAGAGGTAGAAATGGAGCCAGAGTTAGAGAAAGAGCTGAAGAGGGCCGTCGAGGACGCCGACGAGTTTGTGGAAGCGGACAGCGACATGGACACTGATGAGGTTTGTGACTAGGAATTTATTGTACATGATAAATCATTTGGGCTCTAAGAGTAGGCGCCCACCGTTGATTTTTCGTCGGCCGATAGTTTAGTCGGGCAGTTGATCAGTGTACCTACCATTAGTTTACGTTAGGTGTGCTCGCTAGCGAGTACGTCAAAAATCTCTATGAAGCATTTGTTTCTTGAAAGTAGCCGCTAGGGGCGCTGCACAATATGTCATACAATTAATGTCATTTTTTTACGCAGTCGCTAGCGAACACACCTAACGTAAACTCATGGTAAGCACACAGTGTGGGCATGTATGGGAGTGCGCACACTACGCCGATTCGATTTGGCCGATTCTTCATACAATTTAAAATCGGGCACAACTATCGGCCAACTAAAAATCAACGGTGTGCGCCTACTCTAAAGGTTCAGCCAAACCAACGCAATGCGTTTAAGTCTGATCGCCATCGCTGCACGCCGGCTGATCGCGTGTGATCGCGTTGGTTTCGCTGAACCCCTAATGTAACTCACATGATTACCATACCTATTTGCGATGAATTTTTTTAAACTGTATTGCTAATATGGACTACTGGAACTATACAAGGTTAAACTTTTTTGTTTTTCATAATCAGTCCAAGTTTTTATTATGTCTATCAAATACTGTTAGTTTATTAATGTGCAAAGCTCTTGGTATTGCTTTTTAGTATAGTTCTAAAGGTGTAGGTTATATTTTTCACATACTGAAATGCAAAATGCTGCTTTACCAAAATACCCAACTAAAGTTTTAGTGTTTATTTTTGTTTTAAAAAAATAAAAAATAAAAATATTTTTTTTTTATTTTTTATTTTATTTTTGTTACTAAAAATCAATTTTATTTTAGGAAAGTGATTCTGGACGCAAAGAAGGTGCTGATGTTGGAAGTGATTTTGAATCGGAGACATCAGATATTGAGGTATAAATTTTTCACACTTAATAAAAGTGACATACATCATAGTCCCATTCATTTTGGTATTAAATTGGTATATTTTGATGGTGCGATGCATGCGTGGTAGATGAGGTATACTGTTTATTGCATGATGTTAAATCAAATAGTTATCAGTGTAAAGAATAATAGAAATTACTTATTTCGAACAGTTGAGCTGATCCCCCTACTTTTATTGTGAATAATACCTAAATACTTATTAAAATGAACTGTTTTCTTGTAGGACGTTGCTGAGAAGTTGGTGAGCAAGAAGAAGCCACGAGTGGAGATTGAATATGAAACAGAGCCAGCTGTTACCATATCTAGAAAGAAAATTAAACACTAATGTTTATATTTAACAGAATTGTTTCATTTCTTTTTTAATTACATCATAGAACTTTAACATTTACATGTAGCAAGTAAATATACCTACTTTGTTCAAGTTTATAACACCTGAAAGAGACTGTAAGTAAAGCTTGTGTATTTTTTTTAAATAACTTGAAGAATCGAAATGTCGTGAGTTCGACTTCCACTTAGGCAGTTCGATTATTTCAAGTTATTAAAAAAATATTTAGATCGAGAGGAGACTTAAAGTAGGCGCACACCGTTAATTTTTCGTCGGCCGATAGTTTAGTCGGGCAGTTGATCAGTATGGGCATGTATGGGAGTGCGCACACTACGCCGATTCGATTAGGCCGATTCTTCATACAATTTAAAATCGGGCACAACTATCGGCCAACTAAAAATCAACGGTGTGCGCCTACTCTTAAGCCAGAATTTTTTAATAACAAATCTTATGTATTCTGTGGAAAAGCTTCTAAAAAATGAAAAATCTATCGTTATTATCGCTCGCAAAGTAATCGCTTATCCTGACAAGTGTGTACGAGTGTTCTACCAGTTGTCAAGGGTTGGAATCACCCTGCGAGCTGTAGCAACGAACACCAGTTATTGCAGTCGTAACTCGCGTTATTGTGACGCCAGTTGAGTGTTCTGTGTGTCACAATATTGTCGACCGTGAGCGCCTGTCGTAAAATATTTGTTTAGGTGAAAATTTGCTGCTNTTGCTGTTGTGTACGCGTTATGGGTCTTGCTGACAGTTGGCATCGAATATCTTGCTTATATCTCAAGTAGAAGCTGAGATTAGATGAATGATGAACAAGCCCCTTTGCTCTAGAGAAGTAGCTTTTATATATTTCATATGTCAATACGGTAAGGTAGCACTATTATGGAAAGTAAAATATGGTCGTTTGATAGCTTTTTGTAGGTAGGTACTTATAGTCTTCAGACTACCGGATCTTAATAATGTAACCTACTCTACGGAATACGGATTGAACCTAATAAATAAGTTTTGAGACAAAATGCAAGGGTGTATGAATTTAAGAAAATAATCGCAAATGAAGCCGCTTCAGCTGAGTAAGTAATTAAAGTTATTCAAAAGTAGAAATCGGATATGAAGAGATTTTCAATAGAATGGCGCGCACGAGGAATCTCAAATTCCAAAACCGGGGTGCCACTTTGTTCGCGATTTAATTATGCTCATCTGTTTAATTAAGAAAGTTAGGTATCAGTCTTTACAGTTTTCGGGTTCTTTTTCGTTGTTATAAAGTTTCTTTCTTATACACATACCTACTAATCTTACGTAGTCGTAACTTATGTAGGTAATTTCTGACAAAAGTTGTTATAATTACTTACGAGTAAGTAGGTAGGTACTATAGTAAGGCTATGCCAGATGCCTACTACGAGTGTTAAGTTTGTCTCCGTAGCCCATAGGCATTGATAGAGAACCAATCTCTAAGCCGTAGCCTAGTGGTCAAAGCAATCGCCCGTCGAAAGGACGTGGGTTCAATTTCCAATTTCACCCAAGAATTTCACTAATGACTGAAATAGGGAAATCTAAATCTGAGTCTTGGAGTAGTGACTCAATGGTGTTTACCAAAACTAAGAACATAAATTGGGGCTAATGAGTTCATATTTAAATTAGCTAAGTATTTTTTTTTACTAATTAATAAATAAATAAACGTTTTTGGTTTTCATGAGTGTTGTTAATTTATTGGACAATATGGCAGTTACGCTAAACTCGTTATCCACAACAGTCACGTCTTGCAATCGTGATTTGGTTTCAATCGACTAAACGAATCAAATTATGAAAAGTTTGGATTGCCAAGTACCTAAATGAGACAAAATAATTTTGCTTTTCATCCTTGAAAATCAACGTTCCTCTATGTCTAACTTTTACTGATTGCTCTTAAAATTAAGTTATTCTGATGAATATCGGAGAATGAATTTCGCTTATAATCAATTTCGCATTGTGGGCTAATTTACATTGTCTCGGAATTAAAGCGGTACTTAATGAACCAGAAAAGGAAAATTGGGCATTCAATGGAATGGTTGTGCTCAGAATAAACGTAGGCACGGCACAATAATAACGGCGCTGCGGCGCTTCAGCTATCGACAACTTTCATTGTTTCTTCAATTTACTTGATTGGCTACATTTCGCGAGACGACTGCAACTTGGAGTTGAGCCCAAGTTAATCATAACTCTATTGAATTATTTTAATTTAGGTGCCTAATTGATTTAAGTGGATTCGATTAGGTAACAATAAAATTACAGTGCTTCATACTTACTACATAGAGCGCAATCATTCTCAGTATGAAAATGTATTAAAGTCGATCTTAAAGTTTTCATGAGGGTTAAAGTTAAGTCACCTAGATTACCTAGTTAGTTTTATACATAACTGTGATGGTTACGGTGAAGACTTATTTTCTACGTTTCGTTTCCGCCAACCGTTCCCGCCAGTCCCGCTCTCGAATACACTCCGGATTGAAATATTCAGAACTCAGCGTGGAAATTTTATACGTGGTTCTTAAACTGAGTTTCAGAATTCTGAATTTTCAGATGACGTAAAATAAAATATCGCGGAAGTTGTGGTTAGTGTGCCAATAAGTAAAATAAGTTCCATTTATCTGACGTTGAGGTACTCACTAAGTCACTATGTACTAACTTGTGGTACTAACTTACTGATTTAGACCAGGCGCAGACCACCGATTTTTAGTTGGCCGATAAGTAGTTGTGCCCGATTTTAAATTGTACGAAGAATCGGCCAAATCAAATCGGCGTAATGTACGCACTCCCATACATGCCCATATTGATCAACTGCCCGACTAAACTATCGGCCGACGAAAAATCGATGGTCTGCGCCTTAGTATAAGTACTGAGCAGTCGTCAAATTAGCATAGACCTAATTTATTTATTTTATTTATTTATTCATGAATAGAACTGTAGTACCATTATTAAGTATTGTAGTTCCCTGTAATGAACCCACTGTTCGTTTCAACCAAATGACGTCTACTGCTGATTAAAGCCCTCCCCCAAAGATTTCCAAAACTGTTGGTCCTGTGTTTGCTCATCCACGTGCTTCCCGCTTTTATTATGTAGAGTTACTCAAAGTCCTATCCTTTTTTGAATGAACATTAGAGACTTATACTACCTACCTACCTATGTGCCTGAAACACAACAGCTAGCTTCCTGGGACCTCCTCAATTCCCGGTAAGTCCACCGCTCTAACAAACATTCTGATTTTGATGAATAAGTAAAACAAAAGAGTGTGTTCTCTATGCATTGTATCAAAATGTTTCAAAGCCAAAACGGCGGGGCCAGGAGAGGCGGAAAAGATTAAAAATGTAATTTCCGATGGCTTGCCCTGTTTCCTCCGAGGCACGCGCGTGATGTATCGCCCTCGTTAGAGTGTTTACGGTGAGAATGGTGTAGTTATGTAAGGGTTAGGGCCCTCGCTACTCACATGATGAGGTGTTGAAGGGTTTTGACAAGACCAGCACATCAAACTAATCACTGGCATCTTATATATTTGAAATAGGTGCTATTTTACCTTAATATTCGAGAAAATTAAGCGCAGTGAGGCTTTTCAATCAAATTCTATGTAGCTTGGATGCTGCCTTGCAATGCAGACAAAAAAGTACCTACTAACCTCCTGAAGGGTTCGTATCGTACCGACTGTTGGAAAGTGAAAATGTAATAATTTGAGCCAGTATGTATCGTAATCCGGGAAAAAGTCATAGGCGTGTGATTTGAGACCTGTAAAGCCGCGTCTTGTGCCTAATATTTATTTCAGTTAAATCTTTTATGATTCAAGTAAATACAGTCGCCCAGGGCACCCGCATCATCCCTGCAGAAATGGAGCTGAATGATAAAATTAGTTATGCCAATAGAGTGGAGTCGATAGCACGTAATCCGCGGGCTTTGGGCGGCCATTCATAAAACGGGCTAATTGATTTTTGTTCGCGAGCGGGTGATTAACGAGGCGGCCCGGTCAGTCTGCTGTTTCCAATGTTTGAGTTTCATTTTAATTTGTCTCTGTGCTATCACTTTAGGTTACAATGATTGGTGGACTGGAAATTACGAGATTCCCACGAATATTGTTGACATGAAGACATATTAATGCACGATTATGTTTCTTAGCTTGAAATCCCTTTTGTGACTGAAATCCAATTGACTTATCGTAGCTCTGGTAGTAGGTTTCTTTTTATGATTTCTGATGGTGACAATATTGATTACATTTTGAAAACCTGAAGTCTGAAGTCTGTTTAACACGGTTTTTAGCTTAGAAATGGTTTACCCGCGAATTTTTCAATGGGAGAGGCCTCTATTCTTACAAACATGGGTTTGTTTAAATAAAAGTTTTTACATAGAAGAAGATGATGAAACCTTGCCACCACTCTTGCTTGTCGCCAATATGAAATAATGACGAGCCGAAGGCAGTGCACCCCAATTGCTTTATCTTAATGTCTTGGTAGGTACCATTCGAGATATAGTGGTGCCGCGAATGATATAATTGGCAATAAAAGCGTTGCCTAAGTTAAAAATATATGGAACGTGGCCGAGTGGGACTTAATAGTGGTTTAAAAACCATAAATTCTTGGCCGTGGATCTGCAGCGCAGCTAAAATGCACAATGGCGGAATTTTTGCGGGATGCCGCTCTAGCGGCGGGCAGCGGAACTAACGGCACGCTCTACGTAAATAAGGAATGAGAATTGGACAAAACGATTTTTTACGATCGAGATTTATATTCAGAGGGGAAAACGGTACACAATTATCTACACATAAGTCCTCGCAAAGTTTTTGTTTTGAGTTGGACACTTTGATGTTTGGAAATTGTTTTAGCTGCAGCTTCTTATAATTTGACACGAAGAATAATTTTAGAAAACATTTTGAGCAACATACAGAAATATCTAATAAGAGCATTGCTTACGCAATAAAAGCGGGTAGTTATATGTATTTTAGTAGGAATGGGCTTATAAGTGGATACAGAGCCCCTTTCAGTAACCTTATCTTATTTCCGC